GGAGTGGCAGTGCACACCTGTCATCTCAGCACTCTCGGAGTTCTGGGTATCAAAGGAGAATCACAAATTTGAGGCCAACCTCCCAGGCAACTTGGTGACTGAAAGAAACCTTTTCAAAATAAAAAATGGTCTGGGGCTGTAGCTCAGTGAAAGGCCCTGGGTTTAATCTCCAGTATGGCTCACACTCACACTCACTTGCACACACACACACACAAATATTTATCACATGCTACTGTGAAAGTGATACTGGTCACTACCATAAACTTGAAGTTAAAAGCTATTTCAGAGGAAGGAGACTAGGTCTTAAATTGGGCTTCTTTCAGAGTGTTTTGAATTAATAAACATGTTTTCTCTCAGCTGAGCATTTTTGGTTTACTGATGAAATGAGTGACTATTCCATGGGATTTAAAATATACTGTCACATGACACTTCAAGAACATGAAAAGCATTGCTCCAAAAATGGTTCAAAAACATATCAGATAGTAATGTAACAAGACATTTTGCTGCAAAAAAACAAAATTATACAGTGACATCTCATTGAACTTTCATGTAGTACTCTCTGGCTATGTCTTCTTTTGTGAATATGAGTTGACTTATCTTCTGACAATACACAAATCTTTTAAATTACCATGATTTAAATCTTTTAAATTACCATGATCTAGCAGAGTATTACTGAAGTAACATTTCTTTGAAAATATAACACTGAGACGACTTACATTGTATTTTTAAGCGCTTAGGATTTATTCTGCAAATGCAGAAAATGTAGCCAAATGCAGATAATCAAACTAGTCAGTAGTCTATTACTAACAAATGAGCTATTTGGGTAACAAATCATATTCAATGGCATGCTAGTAAACTAGCTCTTTGATGTTGAGGGAGAGGCACAAAACACTACTCCCAACCTTTATTTGTGGCATTTAATGACTTCCATGATAATAAATATACCTGCTACATACAAAAGACTTCAAGCTCACAACTGGTGCATAAAGCTTCCTAACATTTAACAAATGACAAAGCCGTTTATGTTGAGCAGTCGGGACTACTGCATCTACTGTACCCTTCTCAGAGGGCACAAATTTGTTCTCATATTCATTTTAAAAGTAACAGTTAACCCTCATTTTGCAGAAAATAGGCTGCCTGACCACTCTGAGGTGTGCAATCAGTTTTATATACATTCATCCTGTTGCGTACATCACCACATCCACTGCCAGAACTGCTCATCCTACAAACTGAAAACGGCTTCTTCAGCAGTGACCCTGCATTTCCTTTCCCTCCCAGCCTCCCCTTTTCCACTTCTTGTCTCGATATAATTTGGACTGTTCTAAGTAATCCGTGTAAATGGAGTCATATATGTTTACCTTCTTGGGACTGGCATATTTCACTTAGCTTTTGAGGTTCATCTATGCTTTCAGAATTTCCTTCCTCTTAAAAGTTGAATAATATTTCACTGTGTGCATATAACCATTATTTCCTTATCTACCAAAGGACACTTGGAATGCTTTCACATCTTGGCTACTATGAAGAACGCTACTAGATATGGATTTATTCAAAGTTTCTATTTATTTCTGGTTTGGTCTTGGTTACTCATAGTCTATTAATACCCCTTTTTATTTCTGTAGAATCAAAAGTAATGTCCCCATTTTCATTCCTGATTTTAGTAACTAAGCCTTGCCTAAGTTTCTATATTGATGCTCTCAACCAACTTTGAGCCTCCGTTATTTATCTATTTTGTTTTTGTCGGCTCAAATACTTATTGCCTTCCCTCTGCTACTTTGGTTTCAGTTCTTTTTCTAGGTCCTTACGTTAGGTTACTGATTCGAAATACAGTACTTCTTGTGTCTAATGTAAACATCTGTTAAAATTTCTTCTTAGCACTGCTTTTACCGTGTGCCATAAATTTTCATTCATCTTGTCTTTTTAAATTTGTCTCATGATTTCTTTGGTTCAAAGATTAATACTGTGTTAATTTTCATAATTAAAACATTTTCATTTTTCTTTTGTTAATGATTTCTAACCTCATTCTGCTCTTATCACAGAAGATACTTTGTGTAAGGTTTATCTTTTAAAATATACTAGGACTTAGTTGTGAACATGCAGCTTACTCTGGAAAATATCCCCCATGTACTTGAAAAGAATTGCAATCTGATGTTGGATAGCATGTCCTACACATGTATATTATTAGATCCAGTTGGCTTACTGTGTTAAATCCTTTATTTCCTTACCTATCACCTGTTTAGTTATTTTATACATTACTGAGAATGAGGTATTGAATTCTCCAGCTGCCTTTGTAGAATTGTATGTCTTTCTCCACTGTATTTCTTTCCTCAATTCTGTCAATTTTTATTTCATACATTTTGATAGTCTGTTATTAAATATATGCTTAGTAAACCTCCTAGCTGTACTGAACTTTTAAAAATATATAACCACTGTCTCTTGTAACCAACTTTTCTGATCTTTATACTGCATCTAATAAAACCACCTCTATTCTTCTCTTTTAGATGGTAACTACATTGAATATTTTTTCACCCTTTTATTTTCAACCTATTTATGTGTCTGGCTCTAAGGTAACTTACACAGAACTGTTGTCGGATATTTTGTATCCACTTAGCCAAACCCTGCCTTTTGATTGGAGACCTTCATCCAATTATACTTAAAGTAATTACTTATAAGAAAGGACTGATTTCTGACATTTTGGCTCCTACATACTTTATGGCTTTTCTATCCCTCATTTTCTATATAACCTTACTGTTTGGTTGATTTTTGTTTGTAGCAAAATGTTTAAACTTCTTTCTCATTTTCTTTTGTGTATATCCTCTTGTGACATTTTTATGCTTAGCACAATAATTACATTTTACACACTAAAATCACTCTATTGTGAATCTATACTAGATTAACTTCACTAAAAAAAACATACTCATTTGACATTCATAATTCCATACATACACCTTCTAATTGCTGAGGTCACAAAATTATATCTTTACACATTATGTGTCCAAACCCCTGAACTGGTAATTATTTCAACTCTATTAGTCTTAAATTACACAAAAAACAAAACATGGCATTATAAAGCAAAGCTACAGTAACACTGGCTCTAGATTCTTTTTTTTTTTGGCAGTATTGGCTTGAACCTCGGGCTTTAACACTGAGCTACATTCCACTCTATTTTTTATTCTCAGACTGAATTCCACTTAATCACCATACTGCACCTGAATATTTAATCCACTTGCTTCAGTCTCCCAGAGCATGGGGTTACAGGCATGGATCACCACACACATTAATGACCAGTGACAGCGAACTTGGAGCTTTCAATGATAACAAACAGCCCCTGTGGCACATGTACTATAGCTTCATTATCACTGTCTTAGACTAATTTTTAAAATGTATTGGGCCATTAAATCATGTAAAAAACAAGAAGGGAAATTACACCCCATTTTACAGTAACACAGTACTAGCTTTTGTAATTGCCCATGTATTTTCTTTTACTGAGATTTTTATTCCTGTATAGGCTTCAAATTACTGTCTAATACTCTTTCACTTCAAGCTGCAGGACTCTCTTTAGCACTTCTTTTAGGACAGGCCTAATAAAGAACTCCCTCAGCTTTTATCTATCTGGGTTTGCCCTACTTTTTCTCACTTTGAAAAAACAGCTGGCCAGTTCTAGAATTCTTGGTTGACAGTTTTCTTTTAGCAACGGAATGTCCTGGCACACTGTTCTATGACCTCTAATGTCTGATATGAAACCTGATTACTAAAGATCCCCTCTATGTGATACAATTGTTTTTCTCTTGCTGCTTTCAAAGTCCTCTCCTTGTCTGTGGCTCTGGTGATCCTCCTGTCTTGACTCTCAAAGTGCTGAAACTTCAGGTATGCGCCACTACACCCCACAATCTATTACAATTTAAAAGCACTTGAAGTTTCACTTGCCGCTTAGAATTTATCTATCCCCCCCCCCCTTTTTTTTTGGTGGTGGTGGTAGTGAACCAAGAATCAAACTCAGGACTGTGAACTTGCCAGGGAGGCATTGTGCCACTGAGCTTTATCTCCAGCCCTTTATCCTTTCTAAAAAAACTAAATTTCAAGATATCCTTTATTTTTGTAATGTATAGATTAGCCCATCTTTCTTTTGCAGTACTTGGAATTTACCTAGGACTTCACATAGCTATATGCTTAGCTCTACTTTCAGAGAAGGTATTTCGAAGTTGCTCAGGCTGACCTTGAGGTGGTGATCCTCCTGCCCCAGCATTGCAGAGTGCTGGGAGAACATGCATGAGCCATGACTCCATCCCATCCTTACTGTTACAGAATCAGTGGCCCTATTTTTCTCTACTCCAAGTATAGAAATTCAATTAATTTAAGCTTAAGTAAATAAAAATCTTTGATCAATTTCATTTACACTCATTTTTAGAAAAAAAGAAAATTTAAAAATCTCATAATTTTTCAAACTTCTAAAATGAATACTAAAGATAATCTCTTGCAACTCCAGAATCCACAGTACCATTCAAGAGGATTCCCCTGGGTGCTTTAGAAATCATTAACTGTAATAAGTCTTTTTTTAAAAGCAAAATCAAAGAAAAAAGTATGTTACAGTACTCTGCATTATACTGCAGGGCACATCATTCAATTCTAATGAAAGCTTAATCATATTTCCTAGTAAAAACTTTAAACTTTTACAGTACAAAGAGTACAAAATTTGGGTCAGCTATTCCTTTTTTTTTTTTCCTCCTCCGTAGAACAAATTTAGGCAACAGTAGATATATAAAACGATCTTTTAAAATACCTGATTATAAAAAAAGTATTTCATGTCTTACCCTCTCAGCAAACCTTGTCCTAAATTCAGATTCTTTAGCTAAACAAACCTCTATCACTAAATTTAATCCTTCATGAAAAGCTTTGCTGAGTCCTTAATTCAAATGTTCATTCTTCTATGAGCAAATGAGCCAGCTAGTCTTCCACCGCCTTTGCCATGAGAATCTGTTAGAAACTAATCAAAAAGCAGATACCTTTATCAGAGAATACGTGTTCTAACTCGTGGAGGTCAGGCAACAGGTGAATACAGTTTATGCAGCAGTAGCTGAAGAAATCCAAGATGACCACTTTTCCACATAGGTCCTTGTAGAGAGAAAGAGGCTCTTCTGTGTTTAACCATTCTAACCCTGAAATGTATACAAAATAAATTACAGTAATGAAAGATAAAAATGGGTAATTTATCTAAAACTTTCCATTAGAATGTCAGTCTTTGTTCTTTCTAGCACTATTGCAAACCAACACCTTAAGAGATGACAGCACTAAAGTCTGTAGTAGTTTATTTCATTTATAAGAACCAGCTTTTTTAATCAACAAATAAAAGAGATAATGCATCTTCATCACTATAACTAAAGAGATATCTGTGATATAAAGGAAAAGACCAAAAGTCTTCAGAGGTTAAAGGCCCAAAGTGGTTTAAAAAAAAAAGAATAGGAGGAAAGGATGAGAGGACAGGGCAGTAGGAAGGGTAAAGAATGGGAGAGCTGCGTTTATGAGGCAGTGAGCACATACAGCAAGAAAAAGCTACTGTATTCTTTCAGAACTAGTATAGTAGTCTCTGTATACAAAGGGGTGAAACCAGCACATTTAGGCAAAAACAACAGGAAATATCAAATAGTAAGTAACTGCATACACAAGACAAGCTTAAAAACAATGACATAGCTAACAAACAAAAACAAAATATACTTAAGGATAAACATAAAAAATGCCTAAGCCAATCCTACTATATTTTTAAAAAAAGCTGAAGTGTTCTGAAGTTGGATTAAACACTAGATTCAAAATATTTTAAATGCAAATACAAAGTGACAGTAATACTGATGAAGCATGTGTTTTCTTCTCTCCAAAGAAACATAGGCTGTCATTATCTGTACTTTTGTAAATCAGAATTTATAACTACTTGATTATGATTCAAAATTTTAACTGTATTAAGATTTTGTTAAATATTAAAAGTACAGCATCCCTACCTAAACAACTTACAAAGTTTATCATTTATAGGTAAACAAACGTAGCTATTAAAATTTTTGATAATAAGTAGGTATCTAGAAATGTTTCACAACAACTGAACCTCAAAGTTAGGCAGAGCGAATAAATTCATCTGACCTACCTCATCCTTGGGGGATAGGCTCCAAGACCTTCAGTGGAGGCCTGAAACTGCCTAGGCTACTGAAACGCACAATTTACAGGCTTTTCCACCTTACCTAGGCATTTATTAGGCACTGAGCCCCCAAGTAACTTCTGCAGTTTAGGATGTGACAACAAAACTAGGGCAAGTTTTTTTCATTCTTCAGAATTTGGCAGGTAAAAGATGGATTCTTAGGGCTGGGGATTTAGCTCAGCGGCATAAGCGCCTGCCTTGCAAGCATGCAGTCGTGAGGTGAGTTCGATCCCTGGTACCGATAAAAAGGAAAAAGACAAAAAAAAAAAAAAAAAAAAAAAGATGGATTCTTACTGTAGGTCTTAACAACCTCAGCATATGGGGTTCTTCTTCATTTGGGAACTTTCGCCTTTTCATTTAAAGGAAGCATTTTATGGGTTCTCTGGCATATCTGATAGCCACGAGCACCATTGTTGAGCTCTGAGCCATTACTAAGTTAAATAAGGGTTCCTGGAACACAAGCCTTGTGATACTGCTACACTTGATGTGATAACCGTGACCAGCACTGGGTCGCATGTACAGCACTGACAAGGGGACATGGTGATCTGTCACATTGCTAGAAAAAGGGATGACTCACACAATGGACAGGACATAGTAGGAAGGCTTGAAATTTTGTCAGAATCAAAATGGTGCTCAATTCAGAAATTATGAATTGTTTATTTATGGAATTTTCCATTTAATATTTTCAGGCTGTACTTTTGACTAAAGGTAAGCAAAAGCACATAAACAAGATTAGATAATAAAAATACTGCCAAAACCTAGCTGGTGGCCTGCTTGTAACAATGCATGTACTATATTAACTGCTTCTTTACAACGTTTTTACAAAATATGTATACTAGTGTGTGTGTGTGTGTGTGTGTATGTATGTAACATTTTGAAGTTTCTCTGATGGAATAAGCATTCGTGTACTTTGGGGCGAGAGTAAGAATTTCTCAGTATTTCCAATCTACTATAAGATTGGCACTGGAAAAAATAAGGACTTCTCAAGGCAAATGCAAAAGGCTCGGAAAGACACCCAAGACTGTTGGCAGAGGAGGTTCGGATATACCTCCCATGAGATAACTGAACCCTGTCACCCCCAACCAATTAACTATACATGCGGTTTCAGTGTCATACCAGGACACATGCCAACCTCACCAGGCAAAACAATGCCACTCTAACCAAAGAAGGTAAAGTATGATTTCATTTCAAACTGCAATGTCTAAAGTATCTACTCCCTCGTGTTCCAAAGGCTCACATGGCCAGAACCCAAACCCAGGAGAAAGGCTATACTGGATTCAGATTTTTAAAACTGTAAGTTTTTCAATAATGAATGGGAGAAACCAGGAAAAGCTAGGATGCCAGCATAAGCTAAGGTCTGTAGATAGCAATAATCCAACTCTGGCACTTAGCGGCCGGGAAGTTCTTGGGTCTGCCTGTGCCTCAGTTTCCTCAACTATGAACAGGACGAACAAGAGCACCCCACGGGGTTGTAGGCAGGGTTAAATAACATAATATGCCCCGAGGTGTTTAGAACTGTTCCTGGCACATAGTGATTCGTAAATGTCAACCAGAATGCTGCTGAAAGACGATGCGGTCCAGTCTCCAGGGAAACACTGAAGGACAGAGTGCTGTGGACCCTGCCATCACTGCCCACCGCGTCCACAAACATTCTCGGGGGCTTTACCTAGCTGACATCTGGCCGGGCAGACCCTCCCCCCTCCAGAAGCCTGGGGTGGGAGTCACCCCTCGGGGTCCGGGGGACAGCGGAGCACGCGCGCCCAGCACACGCACTCTCGCCTCGCCGCTCCGGAGAGGGCGCGGAGCCCGAGGAAGGGGAGGTCCCGGCGCGGCGCCCACCCCGCTGCCAGCCCCTCACCTTCCTCAAACTCGGGCACCGACAAGTCCTGCTCCCAGCCGTCCACCTTCTGCAGATACTGATAGACCAGGTCATCCTTCTCCTGCTGAGTGACGGCATCGAGCAGGGCGTACTCGAGCGAGGTCTGCGCAGGCAGCAGCCCAGAGAGGCCACAGCTGCGGGCTCCGGACGCCGCCATGTTGTGCAGGTCCCGAGGCGCCGGCCGCTGAGACTGCGGGAGGAGGCGCGGCCCCCGCTGCACCCCCTGCAGCCCCACTCTACGCCTGAAGCGCTTTTTTGATTTTTAAGAAGGCAGACGAATGCCAAAGTCCAAATGGCCGCAATTCCCGGGCACGTAATTAAACTACTGTCGCAACCCACCCCGCCCCTTCCCGGCCTCTCGCCGCAGCCCAGCCTGGACATTGAGAATGCCTGATTCAACAGGGCCAAATCCCCTGGCCGCATTCTACAGGCTCTGTGGCACCCGTTCTAACACCTTCCACCTTAGAAACTGCCAAGCTTTAGAATAAAAGTAAAATAAAATAATTTAGTAGGCCAGTTAAAAAAACTTTTTTAAAGCTCTCACGCTTAGACCTGGATCAGCTGATTCGACACGACCCTGGCAGCAGGAACAGTTTCCCGCCAAGACAAGAAAGGTAAGACGAGGGATATGGTGTCTTCCAGAGAGGGGGCTTTTTAAATTGGAATGGCTTTGATTTGTAAACAAACGTTGTGTTTGGTGACCTAGGAGATGTTGAAAGTGCAAGCGCGAATAGACCGTCAGCCGAGCTGGTGAAGAGGGCACAGAGTGGAACGGATGCAGCTGGTGCCTCCCGGGAGCGCCTGCGGGTGGGCGGCCACGTGGGGCTTAGAGGGGGGCTCTGCTCCCTCGAAGGGGAGGGCGTCGGAGACGCTTTGCCCTGCTCGCTGGCCTCGCAGACTCCAAAATCCAAAGAGGGGGAGAACTTGGCACTTGACCTGGGTTTGCCTGCCGACAGACAGGACTGACCACTTATAGGACAGACACACTGTCTTCCACTCTGGGGGACACAGTAGGACCCCACGCCAAACAGGACTTAACATGTTTTCACTTTGTTCATTGTCTAGGGTTATGAGATGCTGCGGGGAGGAAGTGATTAGACGGATTGAAGAAACTGAAATTGTTGACCGTCTAGTAGGCACAGATACAGGCCGTTATGGTTTTTTTGTGTTTGTGAATCCCACAGCACTTTGATTACAGTGTGACTGGCTTTACCAGTAAACTGAGGTAGTCAAGTGCCCAGGGATTGCCGCTGGACTTGTGAATTATTTCGACAATTGTCTACTAGAAAGAGAATGGACAGTAGCTTCACAGCAGTTACTCAAAACTTGTTTTAAGAGAAAATTGTTGAATCTGTGCTTCCCATTGGGGCTTAATTTTTCAAGTATTATTTTTATAAATCAAGACGTAGAAAAAGCCAAAATATCTAAATGAAATAGCGAATAGACCGGTCTGGTGAAGGGGGCACAGAGTGGAACGGATGCAGCTGGTGCCTCCCGGGAGGCATTGAATCTTTTACTGCGTTAGGTACTTTATTTTTGCTTACTTGACTCACAATAAGCGTAAGGTAGATGGTAGTGACATTTAATAGGTGAGCATTCTTTTTTTTTTGTCTTTTTGAGATGGGGTCTTGCTGTGTAGTTCAGGCTACCCAAGAGCTCACTTTGTAGCTGTAAAAACTTTACAGCTGCTACACTGTGATTGATACTTCTAACTTTATTATGGTATAAATGGGGCAGCAAGTGTTCGCAGGTATAATTTTTGTAGTTTGCCAATGTATTGATTGCTAGGCTTTTAGGTTCTCGTCAAGGTAGTAGATTACCTTTTATTAGCAAGTTAACTTTTAAATACTTGTAACAAGAAATGAACACTCAGTTTACTGAAAGTTGATGCCTTTTTTATGATAAAGCCATCTTTGCTATGTTAGAAGACACGTTTTCAGAAGAAGACATCTGGGAATACAAATCTAAAAGAAAACCAAAACCAGTACATACAAATAATTGCACTGAAAATATCCCAAAATCTGTTGAAAAACCAGCAGATGGAAAATGCCAATCAAAACGAAAAGGAAGAAAAGCAAGAACCATAGAAGCTCAAGGGAAGGAGAAAGAACATGAAATAGACCTTGGAGAAAGCCAGACTGTTGTAGCTTCTAGTCAGAATTCCAGTTGTGGAGATGATACTCAGTTGTCCCAGAACAAAGAGACTACTCCAAGAAAGCGTTGGAGGACTCATAAAAACAGACAAGCGTCCCCAAAGATACGTCCAGTTTATGATGGACACTGTCCAAACTGCCAGGTGCCTTTTTCTTCATTACTAGGTCAGACACCTCGGTGGCATGTTTTTGAATGTTTGGATTCTCCACCAATCTCTGATACAGGTAAGATTACAGAAAACGTAGTAAGTAGTCTCAAAATGTCTGGGAAGTCTTGCATTAGGTCAGCCATCTCTATTGGGTGAAACAGCAGGGCCCGTAATAAACCAAAAGAAAACTGAGATAGTATTCCAGTCAATGGTCTGTTTGCAGAGAAAGTTGCAAACCTGAAAACAGCTTAAATACATTTTATAAGTGTCTCAATTAATTTTATAAATATTCATTGAATCTTTTACTGTGTTAGGTACTTTATTTTTGCTTACTTGACTCACAATAAGCGTAAGGTAGATAGATGGTAGTGTCATTTAATAGATGAGCATTCTTTTTTTTTTTTTTTTTGTCTTTTTGAGATGGGGTCTTGCTGTGCAGTTCAGGCTGGCCTTGAGCTCACTTTGTAGCCCAGGCTGGTCTCGAACTCGCAACAATCCTCCTGCCTCGGCCTCCCAAGTGCTGGGATTACAAGCATGGGCTACCACGCCGGGCTAGATGAGCGTTCTTAAAAGTTAAATAAATTACCCAATTTTTAAAATCTTTTTTGGAACTATATAAAGTATAAATACATTCTGGTTTCTAAGCATGGTTATGGTGTATTCTTTATACTAGTGTATAGAAAGAGAAACTGGAAAGTATTTTAGGTGATTAAGAGACACAAAAATGTGCCAAAAGCTGAAGTAATGCTATAGTTATATTATCTTTTAAAATAAATGTCATATTTAGCATGTTGAAAATTGGACTGCATAGATACTGAGTTGGTAAAAATTTGTATATTTTAAAGTTCTCTCAAATTTTTTGGAGAAAATAATATTTGAAGAACAATATAAGAGTATTTAACTTAAATAAATAATATCCAGGCATGGTGGCACCCACTGTAAACCTAGCACTTTGGGAAGCTGAAGCAGGAAGACAGCATATTTGAGTCCCACATGGGGAACTTTGTGAGATCGTATTTCAAAATAAAACATTTAAAAAGAAGTTGGGGATTTAACTCAAAGCAAAGACCCAGGGTTCAATCTTCAGTGCTGCCAAAAACAAAGTTAAAAAAAAAAGGTACCTTGTAAAACCATTTTGGATTAAGTGTTGATATTTTAATGAGTTTTTTGATTGTGCAGTTCATAATAGCTATTGTCTTAAGGCCTCGGAGGAGAACTAATGGTTTTCTATTTACAGGTTTATTTTTAGTGCTAGTGCATCAAAGCTTGTCTTGCAATACCTTTTTCTTTCTTAACATTTTCAGAGTGCCCAGATGGTCTTCTGTGCACCTCAACAATTCCTTCTCATTATAAGAAATTCACTCATCTTCTGCTTGCTCAGAGGAGGGCTGGCAATGATCCCGTCAGTGACGTACCACATGTGCCGGCTGGGAGTTCCAGTGAGACCAAGCCAGCTTTTTCTTTTACCTATGAGGAAAAATGGTCTCTGCCTCAGAAACAAATTGAGAACTTAAAAAATGTTTCAAATGATCCTATGTTGAAGACAAAGAATCTAAAAACATCTCAGCTTACAACTCAGACCAGTAAAAAGGTTTCCTCTTCTACAAATACTCAATCATCCCAGCAAGCTCTATTACAGTCTACAGAACTGGTTAAGAGTGATAAACTGGTAGGAGTTTGTTTGGCTCTTACTGGGAAAGAATCAGAGAGCCAAAGCGCCTCACAACACACAAATTTGCCATTATCAGAAAATGACTTCAGCAGCTGTAAAATCTCCTATTCCCCACTTCAGAGTGATGAGGAAACTTACGATATAAATGAAAAGCTGGGTGATTCACAGCAGGAACTATTTCCTACCAAAAATTCTAAAGATAGCAGCCTAGAAGACCACGACAGCTCTACTGAGTTTAAAAACCTCCATGGTCATTTACTGGGGAATCCAGAGGAAATCTGCCTCAAAATGAATAGCTTCTTAACTCAAGATAAGTACAGTGAAGGACTACATATGTGCAGTGGTCCCAGTGATTCATTTTATTTTGCTTCCCAAGCTAAGAGTGGCATCTCATATGAACCAGCATTCACTAATAATGATTTTCTGATGTGTTCACCTGCATTCTCAGGGGAACTCCCTGCTTCTAATTATCAAACCCCTAAAGCAAAACCTAATGAGCCAGAATTTCACTCATCTCAATCAAATCAACAGAAACAGGTAATTGTAGAATCAGCTGTTTATAATCGAGGTTCTCTGGCATTAGTCAATTATGACTTGTCAAAATCTTTGGAAAGTCAGGGAGGACAGTATCTTTGTTTGCATTCAAGCGAGGGAAAAATTAGAGCACTATCAAGTGAGAACTTCTGTGCTAAAAACAATGCCAATTCAGTATGTGTCTGCAGAAAGACATTAGATGGTATGCCAAACAGTAAAATGACACTTTCAAGTACAGGAAAATCTAGTACATCTACTGCTGCTAAGTCTTCTTTGGAAAAATTGTCTTCTAGTCCTAAAGACAATGCAAGACATTTTAGCAAGGTAATGAAACAAACGGATATAGGTGTGTATTTTGGACTACCACCCAAAAGAGAAGAAAAGAAATCACTGGAGGAAAGTACAGTAGAAATGATTAATTTAAATCCAGTTTCAAGCCCTAATAAAAAGAGGCCCCGGCAGTACAAAAGGAAAGCAGAAAGATCTTTAAGTGACTTAGAATTTGATGCAGAGAATTTAAATGATAGTCAGTTCTCTGTGGAACTGTCTCATGAGAAGTCACAGCGTCAAAGAAAGAGACGTAAAAAGTCAAATTCACAGGAAGAAGCACATCCGAAGAGATCAGGGGATCTTATTAACAGAACAAAATTGGGATCTGGGACAGTCAAATTAAGGGAAGATAAAGTCTTCATAAAATCAACTCCTGGCAGGCTGCAGAAAGACAACGTGAAAGTTTCAGAGTCACCTAATGCAGGGGAATTAAGAAAAAGGACATGTCCATTCTATAAGAAAATACCCGGTAAGTTGGGATATCAGTGTTCAGTGTATCAGCAAAGACACAAAAATTTTTTGCCTTCCTATTCATTGTCTATGGATGTGTGTGTATATGAAATAATTTTTACTCTGTGTACATTGCTTTTAACGATACTTCATGAACTGTTAACATGGTTTTTGCTTTTTATTGTTTTTCTGCATTCAATTCAGCAAGATTTTATTAAAAAACATACTTGGTACACTAGTTACTGTACTAGTTGGATATTACAGAGTACAGGAAAACTGTTAAGTAATAGATAAGCATACTTCAGAAGGAGAAAAGGCATTTCTGTAAGTATAATAAAAGATAATGTCTACACATTGTGAGACTACAAAGAGAATACTAAATGACTTCGGAGAAGAGAATCTTAACAGGTTGTACCTGTCACAATTAATGCCAACCATTTAAAAACCATATTACAATGTAGTTTTTCTGCCTTTTCGTATTCTTACAAATTCTCATGCTTTCAAAGAAGAGTTTTGATAGCAATGTATAGAAGAATGAAGTTTTTTTTAATTGAAGAAAGCAGTAACTTCTGAGAATATACCTTAAGTGGCCAAAATACACTTGGTTTCAAAATAGTTTTGTTAATGTTCTAAGTCTATAATTTGTTTAAAAAAAATTTGCATAGAGAATGGCACCAGTTTTGTTTTTAATAATAATTATGTTTAATTCTCTGTACTTCAAGTGAGCCTGAAACCTTTATGGCGCGTGTTGAGAGTGTTAGTAGTAGTGAGAGCTGTGAAGTTACGCTTAAATGCATTTTGTCTGCCAATACACAGGGTAGTTGTTTTTTGGAACTTTTTATTATTGCCTGTTGAGGGAAATTTCTTCAGCATTTTTCTTACCCCCATACCTACCATCCTCAAATGAAATTCAGGCTATAGAAATACCAATTATCTTTTATTGTACAGTGACCCTTGGAGGGCCACAAACCTTTATAAGATTTGAGATTATAGTGGCCCTCAACCATTTTCACCTCCTTGGAAGCATATCGGTATTGCCCCATGAAGCGTTAATACTTCAGAAGAAATTCTACAACATTCTCCTTTGTTCTTTTGCAGAGGATTTCAGGTGTCCAGAAAATATCATAAAAGTATTAAACAAAACAAAAAAGTAATTGATTTCCAGCTTAGTATTTTTTTTTTTCTTTTTTCTGGTACCGGGGATCAAACTCACGACCACCTGCTTGCAAGGCAGGTGCTGATGCCGCTGTGCTAAATCCCCAGCCCCTAGCTTAGTATTTTTTTAATATTTACTTGTATTTTTGTGTAGTCATTCACAAAAATGTCTCTATAGAAGAATATTTAGTAGACACATAACAAGGCTTACTCTCACCTTTTGCAGTAGTACGCGGTGTAGGTTTGAAATGCATTCTAGTTAAATTGGAGATGAGGTGTGCAGAGGAGAGAGGACTCAGTGTTTATCGTCCAGCCATTACCCTCATTAGCGCTTCTCATCCTGCTGCCTTGGTGTTGGTGTTTCCTTGCAGGAACTGGCTTCACTGTCGATGCCTTTCAGTATGGTGCAATTGAAGGCTGTACAGCCTATTTCCTCACACATTTTCATTCTGATCACTATGCTGGGCTGTCCAAAAACTTCACATTTCCAGTTTACTGTAGTGAGGTAAGTTTTTGTATTCTAAATTCTGAGTTTGTAGATTGCTGTGGGTTTCTAAGTGATGTAATTTAAAAAACAATTAAAACTGTAAGATTATTCTACTAGAAAAGATAAAACAGATTCTACATCAAGACTCTAAATGAGGTAATTTCAACACTTAACAGCCTATTTTTTAAAAAGTTTTATTACTTAAAATTAGATAAACTTTCATGATGTAATAAGAAATCAGTTTCTGATTATGAAAGTGAAAGGGAAAGAAACTGCTCAAAAGAAAGGAACAACTGGGATGAGGAAAAGGAGAAAAGAAAGAAGGGAAATGACTATTAGATAATCATACCACTAATCTCTGTTTGTTCATCAAAAAAAACAGTTCGTGCTTTCATTGTTTGATCATTTTTTCATGCCTACATCTTTTAATCCAAGCCACTACTTTGAAGATAACAATACACAATATATTAACCACTGGTGATATCCTGTTACATTGTTTTAAAATTCTGCATTGTTTTTGTTCTTTTTCATTTTAAACTTTTTTAAAAAATCAGGCACAGAGAGATAATATAAAATAAATACTTTCCTTCAGGAAACATTTTTGAGTGCCTAAATAAATATAAAAGACAAAGTACTTAAGTTCAAGTTTATAGCCTGCAGGGGAAATATTCACAAGTAATTGTAAGTAGAAAAACGAATGGAATTCCTAGGACTATTTATTCTGTTGTGCACTAGGGCAGAGAGAGTATTTCATGGTGAAAGAGAGACCTTAAACTAATTATTAAAATCTGAACATTTTAATCCATTATTGAGGGCTTTAGCCAGAAATTGATTTAATCTTCACACCATTCACGAAGTATCCTCTCTTACTTAGTGAAGCAAATGATGTTTGGAGAGGTTATATGAATGGTCCAAGTCACAGAGGAGGTATTAGCAGAATCCAAATTTGAACGAGGTCTGTCTGATTCCCAGACAGAGGAAAAAGGAGAGAACATACCAGGCAGAGAATGGAATTTGTATGAAAGCACTTGAGAAAGATACTCCAGACTTTTTTAAAAATTTAGGTCGGGTTGCTGGCACAAATATATAATCACAGCACTTTGGAGGCTGAGGCAGGAGGATCACTAGGAGTTTGAGGCCATCCTGGCCTGTGTACTCAGTTCACAGCCAACCTGAACTATGTAGTGAGAACTTGTATCAATAATGAAAACAGAAGACCCAGAAATTTTAGAAAAACTAGTACATGCCATAGCGAGCCACCGAAGATGAATCCCAAGCAATGGGATGAGACCAGTTGACAAGTGATTCTGTGCACCATGCTGAGATTGATGAGCTTTTGACGGGTGTTGGAGAGCCAATGTGTACACAGATGAGTGATACCATCTTTTTAGAAAGTATCTGAAACTGGAAAAGCAGGGAGATTGTTCAGAGGCTATGGTTGTGAACTGGAATTGAAACAAAATATGAACTATGATCAGGATCCTCTAATGTTTTATAATGCATCCCATACTTAGAAAACAGTACTAAAATTTTATAACTATAATACAAAATTGGCAAATTGTCTTTTTATTTGTATACAAAAATAGAAAACAATACTAAAAAATTTTTAAATAAACCATATGGTTTACCACATTGTCTCTTTATTTATACAAAGGATGGTCAGTGAGAGTCTAAATTAATTGTTATCACAGTAAAAGACACTGCCATTAATCTCCCTGAAAGTACTCCCCTTGCAGCAGCACTCTTCCATGTCATTCTTGCCTCTTTCTGAAGCAGTTCTAAAAATTTTCCTTCTGCTACTGCCGAGTGCCATCCAGGAGAAAGGTAGACTTGTAAAACATGATGTGTCTTTATCTACCTGGTCATAGCATTTGGTACTGCACATCTTCTGGCTCTGTCCCAAAGTCAAAAACGACCATGAAAGGTAAATGTTTTGAATTAATTCAAGACATTGAGACACCCACAGCAGTGCAATTGAAGACAGGAAAGAGGAATTCCAGAACTGCTTCAGAAAGAGACAGACTGACAGTGTAAGCCTGTTGAAGTGAGGGAATGTGTTTTGAAGGGGATCAGTGGCAGTGTATCTTTTACTGTAATAAATTTTTAAGGATGCAAGCATTAGCTGTATCTTTTTAGTCGTGCCCATACTTAGTGTTTCACCGAATCAGTCGTAAGCATGTCCTGTTTTGCAGATAACCGGCAGCCTATTGAAAAACAAGCTTCATGTGCAAGAACAGTATATCCACACATTGCCGATGGACACTGAATGTATTGTGAATGGTGTCAAAGTCATTTTGCTTGATGCCAACCAGTAAGTATCTAAGTTGCCTTAGTAATGACTTATTTTTAAAAATTCAAAAGTAAAACACATTGGGTTAAGAATTTTTTTCATAAAAAAAGTTTTTCTTAAAATTGGTGTGCCTGGGTGTGGTGGTTTAGCTCAGTGGCATAAGCACCTGCCTTGCAAGCAGGCGGTCATGAGTTTGATCACCGGTACCAATTAAAAATAAAATAAAATAAAATTGGTATGCTTGATGTTTCTTTTTTTTGTGTGTTTTTGAGACAGGGTCTCGCTATGCAGTTCAGGCTGGCCTTGAGCTCACTTTGTAGCCCAGGCTGGTCTCAAACTCGCAATGATCCTCCTGCCTCAGCCCCATAAGTGCTGAGATTACAGGCGTGAGCCACCATGCCCGGCTTGCTTGATGTTTTTTAAAATTTGAGTAAAACACATTCCTACTTTTAATTTTTTTTATTTTTATTTTTTTTAACTTTTTATTGGTACTGGGGATTGAACTCACGACCGCTTGTTTGCAAGGCAGGTGCTTATGCCACTGAGCTAAATCCCCAGCCCCTCACATTCCTACTTTTAAAAAAAATAACATACCCAATTATAGAATCAGAGAGTAAATATAGTGAAATCTTCCAAGTATTAAAGGACTAAATTATTACTCTTGACATGAAACTCGAACTTTTTAAAAATACATTAATAGCTGGATGTGGTGGCACATCCTGGAGGCAGTAGGATCTTAAGTCAAAGCTCATCCTAGGCAGCTTCGCAAGATTTTGTCTTAAAAAAAAAAAAAAAAAAATGCAGAAGAAACAGGATATAGCCCAGGGTGAAAACTCGGCTTCAATCCCGGTACTGCCAAAGGAGGGAGAGGATAAAAAATTAAACCTTTGTTATGCAGATAACTTTTTGCTGTTTTAATACTTATATAAGTTAACAACTGTAGCCCATTTAGATACCAGAGGTCCTCTGCTTCTGATCCACTGCATTTAAACTAAGAAATCCTTCAGACTTTAAATAAAAAATATTTGGAAGATTTTTTTTTTTTAAATTATTTCTTTCCCCCACCCACCTTCTTAGTATAAAGTATTATCAGCATTCATGTTGCCAAACACAACTATTAGCTATGCTTCTGTTTTTCCTAATATGTCTGTTAATCTCCTATTCCATGGAAATCATAGATACTTAGGGAAAGGAATAGGCCAACACTGTTACTTCAGGTTGTTTTTCATTTTGTCTGCTAGCTCTACTGCTGTTTTTTTTTTTTTTGGTCCCTAACTCGAGTTCTGATTTTTTTAAAGTCAACTTTATTTAAATATTCACAATAAATCACACAGTTAGTATAAACTACTGATCAAGCTGGTATGACTTAGCTCATGCCTCAGAAACATAAAACACTCCACTCATACAAAATATTCCAAGGGCTTAGTTCTCATTTCCCAAAAGGCAACCAAGGCAGAGTCCTAAAGATAAGCCTTTCTTGGGAATATGCAGGGTTTGAACACATGAAGTTGAATCAGTCCTTTCCAGTTCTTTTTATGGTGTAAATTTCCCACAGTTCAAATGTTGTGTTTCCTCAGTAGAATGTCAGTGATCACTAATAAGATGTGTTAATTTATTGATGTTAAAATAGGTACCCTTCATGCAGGTGCTTTACTGTGTAACAAACATGCCTATGAATGTTTGTGTCCAGCTGTCCAGGTGCTGCTATGATTCTTTTCTGCCTTCCTGATGGCACTGTTGTGTTACACACCGGAGACTTCAGAGCGGATCCCAGCATGGAGCATTCCCTTCTTTCAGGCCATAAAGTCCACGTGCTGTACTTAGACACTACGTAAGAGTGGTCTTTAGATGCTGCTTTTTCCCACAGAGAGCCTTTGCTCTGTGTTTTATGAATAATTTAAGCATTTGCTTAGGAGCTTAAGATAATAGTTATTGCCAATTACCATTTCAAGGCTAATTATCAGGGGATGCTGTTTGTAAAAAAAAATATATAATCACTAACAGACAATTTGGTATCATCTGTATTGACTGTGCTTTAATTTTTGTAACTTGTTTTTGAAAATCTTTGTAGCAGAATCCTAGTCCTAAAAGGAGTAGAAAAAATAGCGGTAAGCTTTAGGAAAACACACGCTTAGGTTACCCTTCCAAAGTGTCTGGGTGGGTATTAGGTATAATCGTTAAGAGAAAACTTAAGTATTGAAAATTGCTTTTCTGGGGCTGGGGATTTAGCTCAGCGGCATAAGTACCTGCCTTGTAAGCAGGCGTTCATGAGTTTGATCCCCGGTACCGATAAAAAAAATTAAAAAAAATAAAATAAAGAAAATTGCTTTTCTTTTCCTCCATAAGGTAATATATAATTGACAGCTGTAAACTCCTCATGGATATAAATATAATGGTATAACCCATTATATTTTAAGTATGTATTCTTATTCTCAGCTTTATTAAGATATACTTAATAAAATATATATATATGATGTACAATATAATATATATTAAAATACCTCATCAATTTATTAAAATTTATTATATTAAGTATTTCAAGCTGTATTAAAGGTAAGTAAGTTTCTGTGGGAGATTTTAGTAAAATATGGTCTTTTTACAACCAGTTTTCTCACAGCAAGTTATTTTTCCATTCTTTTTTTTTCATTGTTTCCTGCATGGTTTATCTCCTCAGTCACTGTCCAAAGGACTCTGAGAAGTTGTAGGACTATGCAGGTGCAGACACAAGGCCCAGCTTCTTCTCCAACATTGTGGAAAGGAACTGTACACCAGGGGGCAGAGCCCTATGCTCCCCTGTGCCACCTGGACAGAACCCGGGGAGAGTGACCTCCCGGGGTATCCACGTGGGATATTTTTCCATTCTTTTATATCTACTTTAAGTAATAGATAAATTAAGAAAATAAATTTTCTTTGTGAGTGTGTTTTTGAAGAAAAGTTGGAAGATTTTTTTCCCTCTTTCCTGATATTTGACTAGGGAAACAGTTTTGCTACATTTTAGTGAAGTGGTACATATTTTTCATATAAAACAGATACACGTAGTAGCTTAATTGGTGTTACTATAGTTAGGCCCAACTGGAGCTATTGTAGTCCTGTAATGCTACATTTTATTTCTGTATCTGTAAGAAGAGGTAATATCCATGGGAATATCCATTAATTTTAAAAACTACATCAAAGTCATATTCACTTTTATTATTTTAATTTTTTATTAGATCAAAATTCCTTAATCTAAATATAATCCTTTTCAGTATATTTTGTTATATACTGTTTGGGGTTTAAAACTATATATATATATATATATATATATATATGTTTATACAAGACCTGAAAAATTATAAATATTCTTAGAGGAAAAAAGGTCTTCAAAAGACTACTTTACTTGGGTGTGGGGGCACGCTCCTGTGCTTCTAGCACTCAAGAGACTGAGGCAAGAGGATCATTGCAGATTTGAGACCAGCCTAGGCTACAAAGTGAGCCTAAGGCCAGCCTGAGCTGCATAATGAGACTTTATCTTAAAAAGAGGGAAAAAAAAAAAAACTTTTTTGAGGCTGATAAAAGAAGTATAATTAAAATACACATTAAAAACATCATAATTCCATCATAAATTGGCAATAACTGTTAACAAACATTTTAACTCCAGTGAAATAACTGATATTTTAATATACTGCTGTTGTATATAGTTTTTAAGTTTGTTTTTTAAAATTGAATCCAAGTTTAGAGCTGTGGTCAGTATAGCTTTCTTACTCTTTTTTAGTAAGTACATATTTCTGTATTACAGATATTGCAGCCCAGAATATACTTTTCCATCTCAGCAAGAGGTTATCCAGTTTGCCATCAACACTGCCTTTGAGACTGTAACTCAAAACCCACGTGCTCTTGTGGTCTGTGGCACTTATTGTATTGGCAAAGAGAAAGTCTTCCTAGGTAAGTGGTAGAGCTGTATCTAATTTACATTAATATATTATAAAGATCAAATTCTTTTTGCATGAAGCCCCATTAGTCTCTCTACTTGTACATTTGAAATTTATTTCTTGAAATTATCCAATATTCCCTTTGAAATTGAAGGAAAATTTAATGTGCTTTATACATTTAGACTTGGAAAGGTTTTAAAAAAATATTTGGCTAAGTATGTTTGTCTTAGCCTTTGAAGTCAACATTTAAAAGCAAATGTCCATGTTACACTATTTTAATTAGTTTTGAAAAATGACTAAAGCATATGTGTATTATTTTTGAGGATAACTATAAGTAAATTATTTTACAGGACCGTTTAAGTTTTGTTTTTCAGTTGTTTATATGTTTATTTCTAGTTTATCTAGATAGCATTGTGCTATTTTTGCATAATATCCCCTCTTTTTAAGTATAGTTATATTACGTCAAATGTTGAGATATGACCTCAACTCTTAGGCCAGGGTTTTTAACTTCTCCCACATTTAGTTTCTTTCTTTCTACACCTTGGTACAATAAGCACTTAAAAAACAAGTTCTTTGGTTTCTTTCACAATTTATTCCACAATTAACCAGTACGATGATTCATCCATTAAAGGCACTATGGTATAAATGTGAATGTTTTGAAATTGTTTTTATTTGATAAATTCTTATTTTAAAACGTAAGTTGCAATTTCTTTTCACAAACCATAAGTTTACTATTTTTAACCTTTTACTTTGTCTATAGCCATTGCCGATGTTTTAGGTTCAAAAGTGGGCATGTCTGAAGAAAAATATAAAACATTACGCTGCCTCAATATATCAGAAATTAATTCCCTCATCACTACAGACATGTATAATTCTTTGGTTCACCTTCTCCCAATGATGCAGATTAATTTTAAGGTAAGCATTCAAGGGCTAATTCTAAGGAAAAACCCGATCTAAGATTATAAAGTAGAATCACAATTTACCTTCATTTAACTCCAAGGAATTCAATTATAGTAGAATATCATCTATAGTAAAACTTGCCCTAACATTTTTTCAAGGGACTTTTTAATGTTTTTAGTTTTCTGTGTGTGCAGCTCTCCAGAATAATTCATATGCCTACCGGGATCTTAGAAAAATGGCATTCAGGAAGGAACAGGAATAAAGTACGCAGCAGTAAGGTCATTCAGACCTTCTGTCTCCAAATCATTTTCTAGTCTTTCTGAGTGAGTGGGGAAATGAGAAGAATTCTGAGTTCTTACTTTTTTTCAAATCATTCCAATCTGTATTAATATTAAGCCTGTGTAACACTGACATATGTTGAAAATTTACTCATTTTGAAGCAGTGGGAGTAGAAGCTGAGAGAAAGTTCTAGCATTAGTTCCAAGGTATAAACTAAAATATGTACGATGTGACCTGTGATTTGAGAGCTTTTCTGTCAGGTTTACTTATGCACTAATTGAAGTTTATTCCATTTATTAACATTTTGACACTGGGCAATGAAATATATCCAACCTGTGTGTTAAGTGTGATTCCAAATATAATACACAAAGAAATTTGTTTTCACTTTCCTGTAACATTCATGAAGTGACTTTTATGGAGGTTTTTTAAATAGGATGCTGACCATTGTTTTCATCTTAGCGATCATATCTGTTGTGTTTTAAAACAAAACAAATGTTTTAGGACTATTCCTTAAGTAAGGAAAATCAGTTTGATAAATCCTTCAAACTTAGTGACCCAACAATCCCAGCCCAATGTTAATGCCCAAGAAAATTGAAACCATATATCTGCACAACATTTCTGCAGAATTGTTTGTAGCATTATCCAAAAGTAAAAACAACCTAGATGCCTGTGAAATAATGAATGAATAATTAAAATGGGACAAAGCCATAAAACAACACTGTTCAAGTATTGAGTAATGAAGTTCTAGTACTTACCGCTATGTATGAACCTTGAGAACATTATTCCAGGTGTAAAATGCTGGCCACCAAAGTGCATGTGTGGTATGTATTCTCAGTATGTGAAGTGTTCAGAATATGTAAATGTATAGAGACTGAAAATAGGTTAATGGTTGCAGAGTTCGAGGGAGAGGAAATGGAACATGACTGCCAGTGGTACCAGGTTGCTTTTTGGGATAATGTAAATAAATGGTCTATAATCAGATAGTGGGGATGGTTACATAACTTCGTGAATATTCTGAAAATTGCTGAATTGATCAGTTAGGAAGAAGTTGGCAACTAGCTTCCTTAGAGCCAAAAGCATAAAACAAATGATGAATGAGAAGTGAGAAAATGGAGATCAGAAGCTCAGAATGTGGTTGCCAAGAGGAGTCAGATAATGTTGATGGCCCGAGGGAGCTTCACAGAAGGGTTTTATCATTAGAAATGAAAATTTTTATGTTAAGTGATTGCAAGAAACTAAAATACATGAGATAAGTTAGTAATTGATGAAGTAAGGTTTCTGAGCAGGGTCTGGAACATAGGTAAAGAGATTCATCACTTGTAAGCAGTTTTCTGACAGTTCCCCCACAACTTGCCACGTTACGGTTTTCTGACACACATGATCTTCTAGAGAGCATATATTTACAAACTAAAACAAGAATTAAAGCTTCAGACAATTGAAAGCTCAAGTACAGTTTTTTATATGAGAATTAAAATTGGTTTTAATGATTCAGAAATGTTCGCTACATATATATATATGCATGCACACACAATCAAACCTTAGATTGCAAGTAACTTGGTTCATGAGTATTCTGTGAGACAAACATTTGTAAGACATTTTAACTTGATGAATGATGTCTTGCAATATGAGTTTTATGATGCAATGAATATCACATAATCACACTGGTTTTCTCTCCTCTCTCTCTCTCTCTCTCTCTCTCTCTCTCTCTCGCTCTCGCTCTCGCTCTCGCTCTCGCTCTCTGCCCCTCTCTCTCCCTCCCTGTCTCTGTCCCTGTCTCTCTCACTGCTTTTGTATACAAATGTGTTGCATTTTAAGCAGAATGAATTAGTCTTACAAACCAAGGTTTTTGTGTATGTAATATGGCTAGTGTCCCTGGAAAAGGGATGATCTGGTGGCAGGTCTGTATTTTTAATAGTAAGTTTGTATTTTACCACGTCTATGAATTTATACTAAAAACGGAGTCCTTTGTGAGAAGATCATGTCTCAGGCTCCTAAATGATCAGAACTAGAGAAAACCAGGAAAGGGTAAACAGATCCAGGAGTGCAGTACTACTCTGAGAGGCTGAGACAGGAAGACTGCAAGTTTAAGCCCTGCCCCCCAGCAACTTAGTAAGACTCTTTCTCAAAATTAAAGAAATGAAAATGGTCCAAGGATATAGCTCAGTGCTGAGTCCGTGGATTCAACCGTACCACCAAAGGAACAAATGAAAAAGGCAGACAGTTTCCACTGAAAAAGACCCAAAAGCTAGGGCTTGTGTACTGTCTGCCTGTTAGACTATGGATTTCTAGAAGGTAACATCTGTGTTCCCTTCCCTCTACTCTGGCATTCTGGGCATAATACTGGAGAAGATACTTAATATAACCTCCTTTTCCTCTATTAAAATGACCAAATATTGATCACATTCTTTGAAGATTATTTAGTCTTCAGAACACAGATGTAATAGTACACTAGTTGTGGTTGTGCACATCTGGGATCCTTTACTCAGGAGATCACAAGTGTGAGGCCAGCCTGGGCAAAGACCGTGTCTCCAGAATAAAGCAAAACACTCAGGTACGATGGAAAGTGATGGTTATCATAATGCTATATTTCGGTTAATAAATAAAACCAAATGTTTCCCAGCCAAAAGTAGTTTTGTTGTAGATGCAATGACTTTTTGTGGAAAAATAAACTTAATCAGTTTTCAAAATGTCCAAGGCATTCTTTAGTCTTTGAAATGCTGTCAGTACTATTGATATAACAATCATATTACTATATTAAATATAATAATATCAATATCTCAGAGTCCTGCGGTTTACCACTACCTCTGATTTAGACCTGATTGACTGAATGTGATGAAATATTGTGACAGTAATGCTGCAGGTGATGATTTGCATACTAAAAAAAATAACTCTAGTGACATTGCCAAGCATTTTTCTCATAAACTTGTGCTAGCAAACTGAAAGAAACAGTCATAAATTAGGAATTTTGTTTTGACTAAACTATTTATAATAAGTTTTCTCATTAGAGTAGTTCTGATATTATAGAAAGTGGACAACTTGTGGTTTGCTGGCAGTCTTTTCTGTAGGTTTCCCTTACATGATAACCTAAGTTTTTGCTTGGAGCACTAGACTATGCCACATGATGTTTCTGTGGCAAGGCAAACTTATAAAATCAAGAATGTATTTAATTCCCCCAGGTACTTAGCTATCTGTGCTGTTTATGTTTTGTGTTGCTGGATATAAAACCCAGGGCTTCACACACATGCTAGGCAAGTTACTTTGCCACTAAACTACATCCCTGCCTAATCCTGGATATTTCTGAAGACAGACAGGAATGGATAGATTTGATGGCATATTTTAAAAACTGTATTCTTGAGTTGATGGTATTACATGTATAATTGCTTTAATCCATGGTCTCCAGTTATTTATCTGTGAGTCCAAGATGAAAAAGAATAGTAATTAAGCAAGTAATAGCGTATTAGCTAGGGCTTAGACTTAACAAGACAAAAACTTGGAAGTTTGCAGGGCCAGGGATCTTGGAATGGGAATTTTTGCATCCAAGTTTTTTTTTTTTTTTTTGATGGGCCCATTAGTTAGAAATGTGACTGTTTTGTTCAAGATATTCTTATATTGGCTTTAATTTAATGAGAGGATATTGTTTGATACAAAAGAGAACTTAGAAGATTGTTACTTCAACAAAGTGAGTTGTATTATTACTCATTCTAAGCTTTTGAAACTGGTTTTAATCTTAAAACTAAATTTTGGGGTTTTTAAAAAAAATCCCTTTATTTACTGTTATCTAATTGAATTTCTCTTAAGTTTCAGAGACTGCATTTTGAACATTGAGCTTCTGAGTTTTATCAAATAACATCATTAATTATGACTTCGGTGTGGAGAAGTTCTATTAAAAATTTAAGAGGAGCATAATATTTCCAATTGTAGTAGTGTGAAAGTTTGGAAATTAATCTAGTTCATGTCAAAAAGGCTAGAAAGAATAAACCCCTGAGAAGAACGCTATTATGCATCTTTAAAATGCGTGTCTGTTGTCACATATACTACCCTTCTTACATACACAAGTCTTTCCTGTGTCTCTGTCTTCTGAGTTTATTTGCATGGAGTCACATTCCCATTAGGATGTTTTCCATCGCTACTATTAGTCTCTGAATAGTTCGATTTGTGTAGCATTTTTTAAACTATCGGAATCATAATTTCCTTATATATAAATATTGTTCAAGTTACTTCATCATACTTTTTTTCAGTTAATGCCTAAGCTTGTTTGCATAAGTGAAGTTTTTTTCAGTGATTTTATTTCTTTAAAAATGTGGCACTAAAAAAAAAGTTATTGTAAGCTAATCTTATCAAATAAGAATTCCTTATGACTATGCCAAGTGTAATGTCTTTAATCATTTAATGCCACATTACTTTACCATTCACTGTTTACCATTACTATTTAATCAATGTACTATTTTTATTTAACAGAATTTACAAAGTCATTTGAAGAAGTATGGTGGAAAATACAACCAGATTTTGGCTTTTCGACCGACAGGATGGACCCATTCTAATAAGTTAACTCGCATAGCAGATGTTACTCCCCAGACCAAAGGAAATATTTCAATATATGGTATAGTTATTAAGCTTTCTTCTTGCTTTCAATGTTGATGATTACTTTCATGGTTTTAAACAGTGTTGAAAAACAGATATAAGAAAAAGAATTTAACAATTCAAGTTTCAAATATTACTACTATTCTACACCTCTGGCCCATTGTAAACTGACATACAGGAGTAGATAAATGAGGTGATACGGATCACCTCATTTCTGTAGTCAGTGCTACTTAGAGAAGACTGTAGAATTATTTGAAAGGGAAGATACTATGGATGTCTAAAAAATAACGGAACCTAAGCGATGCCCTGAGGATGCAAGCAGGAAGGAGATGAATGATTAGATCTGGTGACTGGAGAAGGAACAGACTTGACTTCAGCATTTTCATCCCTTGGAAGAAGTTTACCATTGCCCTCCAGCCAGCTGAGTACACTGCTGGCTAAAGGAAACATGTTTGGTGACTTTAAACCAGTGGCTCACATTAACTTCTGAAGACCCTAGTTTACTCAAAACAGGACCCCTCCAGACCTTCTGTACTGCACTTTATCTTTGCTGAAGAAAATAAAGGGATTTTTAGGATTTTGTTTTCTTTTTTTAAAATATTTTTGTATATGTAAATCTTGAGACTAGAACCTGCTTGTTTGTGTTAGAAATCAACAGATCTAGAAACCAAGAATCTACCATTTGTTACTCCTCATATTTTATTCATATTTCATCCAGATTTTCCCAAAATCCATAGCTAAGTGTTTAACAAGATTGTTTAAAAAGAGCAAAATGCTAATTACTCCTGTCTAGGAGTGCATATTATTAACCAAACACGTAGAAATGTATTAGGTGTTCTAATTTGTAAGCTTTATGTCATTTTAATGTTTTAGACTTTATTATCCACAAAAGACACCAAGTTTTCTTATCAGAACTAAAGAACAAAGGAGTTTTTTCACAATACTCTACATTGCTTTTCTGTTTTAGTTTATACCTGAGTTTTTATTAGATTTAATTGGCAGTATCTTTTCTTTGGTCTTTCAGGAATTCCTTATAGTGAACACAGCAGCTACCTAGAAATGAAACGTTTTGTCCAATGGCTGAAGCCTCAGAAAATCATTCCTACTGTAAATGTTGGCACCTGGAAATCTCGGAGCACAATGGAGAAGCACTTTAAAGAATGGAAGTTTGAAGCTGGATATTGATGATACAGTAGAGGACTCAAGAGAAGTTAAGTGTCTTGGATGTAGCTTGTTAGTAGTTAAGTCTGTAGTAATATGAAATACATGTTGATATAAACCCCCACATGAAGATCACTCATACAGTTTTTCTCATTTATATTCGAATAACATATTCATGGTACTTAATGCCTCTCTGCGTCATCAAAGATAACTGAGTTGAATCTCCCTAGCATCCTTAATTTTTTTTCCTTCCCTCCATGGAGAGAGGGTCACATTCTGCACCCAGCCTTAGGGAAAGAAACAAAAGCAGGTTCAGGGACCAAAAAGAGTCATAGTACTGGATAACTAGACTGAAAGCATAATATGTAAGTAATTATGTATCTTTAAAATTACAATATAAAATTTTTATATATAACATTATTTTAAATAAAAATTGTTATGAAATATGCTTGATGTCTTCATGGGTTTTGTTTCATTTAGAACACTTCTGCTTTGTAGAGCACTTTTAGGTTCACAGCAAAACTAAACACAGAGTCCTATATGCCTTCTGCCCTACATTTATATCCTCCCCCGTTATCATCGTTCCTCATGAGAGCAGGTTTGTGGCAGTTAATGAGCTTATCTTGACTCATCGTAATCCCATAGTGCAAGGTTCCTTGTCAGTGTTCTATGTTCTGTGACTTTGACAAATGTGAAACGACACATGTCAGTCGTAATACACAAACTTTCGATTGTCCTAAAAATCCTACGTGCTGTACTTGTTTATTCCTTCTTCATAACCCTGGGCAATCACTGATATCTTTACTGTCTTCATAGTTTTACCTTTTCCAAAATGTCATATAGTTGAAATCATATAGATGGTACCCCTTTTTGTTTGTTTTTTTAAATCAGGGTGTTGTTAGGTAGTCCAGGTCAACCCCAACTCCCAGTCCTACTTCTGCCTCCTGAGTGCTAGGATTATAAGCATTACCACCATGGCTGGCCAGTAGATTGGCTTCTTCTGCTTAGTAATGTGAAGTTAAATTCTTCTGTGTCTTTTCTTGGATGGATAGCTCAACTTTAGTGCTGAACATTATCCCTTTGTCTCAATTTACCAGAGTTTGTTTATCTCACAAAAAGACATCTTGTTTACCCTCAGGTTTTACAATTTTGAATAAAACTAGAACAAGCATCCATACGCAGTTCTTGTGTGAAACTGTTATGAACCCCTTTGAGTACTGCTGGCTCATATGGTAAGAATATGTTTATTTTATAAGAAACTGCCAAACTGTCTTCCAAAGTGGCAGTACCATTGTGTATTCCTACTGGTAAGGAATGAGAGTTTTATTGCTCCATATCCTCTGTAGTGTTTGGTGTTTTCATACTAGATTTTGATCATTGTAAATAGTTATAAAATGGTTTCTCATTGTTTTAATGTATATGTCCCTAGTGGCATTTAGTGTGGGGTATTTTTTCATGTGCTTATTTGCTATCTGTATTTCTCTTTGTTGTATCTGTTCAGATCTTTTGCCTATTTTTAAATTAGATTATTTTTTTATTCTTAAATATTAAAAAATTATTTGTATGTTTTGAATTACATCCTTTATCTGTTATATCTTTTGCAAATATTTTCTTCTAGTCACGGCTTCTCTCCTCATTATCTTCACAGTGTTTCACTGGGCAGAAATGTTTAAGTCTTTTTAATTTTAATGAAGTCTGACTTGCTAAGTATTTCTTTCATGGATCATGGTTTGGTGTTGTGTTTAAAATCTCATTGCCAGTTCCAAGATCATTTAGATTTTCTCCTACGATATCTTCAGGAATTTTTATAGTTTTGTGTTCCGTGTTTAGCTCCATGATTCATTTTGAGATAATATTTGTGATGAGTTTAATCTTTCTGTATGTGAATGTCCAGTTGTTCTGGTACTATTTATTTAAAAAATATTGTTCTTTCCATTTTATCATCTTTGCTTATTAGTGTATTCTTTCATCAATTTCACATTTTCTTGACAACTAACTTTAGTCTGAGTCTTCCAATTTTGTTCTCTTCCAATATTATTTTGACTTTTCTTTCTCTTTTGCCTGTCCATATATATTTTATAGTTTGTTCATATCCTCAAAATAAGTTGCTAAAATTTTTATTAGGATTGTGTTCAACTTTTAAATCAATTTGGGGAAAATTGACATCTTGACAGTATTGAATCTTTCTATCTGTGAATGTGAAATATTTTCTATTGTTTTTTACCTATGAGAGTTGTATAGTTTTGCTCATAAAAAAGTTATATCTATTTTTTCTTAGAATTATTCCTAAATATTTTTGGTGCTAATAAAAATGGTACTGTATTCTGAATTTCAAATTCTACTTCTCGTTGCTATTGTGCAGGAAAAAATGGACTTTTATATATTAAGTTTATATCTTGCAACTTTGCTAAGATTGCTCAGTTTTCTACATATTGGATGGTGTCATGTATGAACAAAGGCAGTTTTATTTCTCCGTTCCCAATTGTTATGCATTTTTTCTGTTTTATTGCAATAGGTAGGACTTTCATTACAGTGTTAAAGAGGAGAGGGTAGAGAGTGTATCTTTGTCTTATTCCTGGTATTCCTTGGAAGTCTTCTAGCTTCTCACTGTTAAATATGATGCTAGCAACAGAGTTTTTATAGATAGTTTTTAATCAGTATGAGGAACTTTCCCTTTTGATAGTTTACTGATCATCAGTGGATATTGGATTTTGTCACTTGCTTGCTCTGAGTCTATTGATATTATCGTGTGATCGTTCTTTTTCAGACTTCAGTGTGATGAATTACATTAATTAATTTTCAAACTAGTTTTACACACGTAAGTTAAATCCCAGTTAGTTTTAATGTATAATTATTTATATATTGTTGAATTCAGTTTCGTTGAGAATTTTTATGTCTGTGTTCATGCGAAATACTGTTTACGTGGTTCTCTTATGGCTTTGTATGGTTTGGTAATAGGGTAATGCTAGCTTCAAATGATTAGGGTTTAGTCTTCCTAGTTCTGTTATTTGAAAGAGATTTTAAAGAATTGGTATAATTTCTTTCTTAGAACCCACCAGTGAACCATCTAAGCATGGCACTTTCTATTTTAAAAATTAATTATTATTGATTTATTTAATAGCTATTTCCCTAGTCAGATTGCTGTCTCCTCTTAAGAAAGTTTTGACAGGTTGTATCCTACAAGGTACTAGCCCTTTTCATTTAGGTTATCAAATTTCTTTTGGCTATTAGGATTTATAACCATGACATCCATACTTCCTGTAGAATTTCAAGGAAAATAATTCAACATTTGACTTTAAGATGATTCAGAGAGCCTCCATAATCACCCAATAAAACATGTAGAAAAGTTTGCATGGATGGTGTTTATCTGAATTCTTTACTTGAGACAAATAACTGTAAGTTTAAATTGAAGAGTTACTGTTTTTAAAGTAAGACTGTATAATTTAAGATCTTCATCTCTCCCCATAAATTAACTAGTTGATCCAAAGTGAAAATTTTAGACCAATGCATGTTTTAAAATAGTTTCTACAGTATCTAACTAAGAAACCTGTTAGAGGGGCTGGGGATTTAGCTCAGTGGCATAAGCACCTGCCTTGCAAGTGTGCAGTCGTGAGTTCGATCCCTGGTACCGATAAAAACAAAAAAGGCAAAAAAAAAAAAAAAAGAAACCTGTTAGTGTAATGAATATATGTGTATTTTTATGTATAGTTTTCTATTAAGGTTAGCACTGAAATGAATTTAGGAATTTCTTTTTTTTTTATTTTATTTAAAAGGGAAAAGAGCAAAAACAAAACAGTGTAAGGGTACAATTAATACAGAACTACAAAAAAAAAAAAAAAAACAGTAAGAAATCACCAGTTAATTGATTACAATTATCTTCCTAGAGACAGTGGCTCAAGTCACAGTATCAAAGCATACAAAGTAGACATTCAAACAGTGAGGCTGCAAACAGTTGTGTTCAATGGTCCAACCAAAAACATTAATATGGGCATCTATTTAACACCCCTAAACACATTTGCAGTTGTATACTTTAGAGCACTTTTTTTCCTCTCTTTTTTACAACAAAATTTATACATTTTGGGTTTTATTACTCCTTAGTTCTTATTACTTTTTTTTTTTGGAAGAGAATAAAGTCAAATATGGCAAAACAAAGCTGTCAGTCGAAACCAAGGATAGACATAGGCCATGATGTAAAAACAGAGTACAAGGTTATCAACAATGGTTACCATAATGCCTCTTGCTTCCTTAAAAAGAATTGTCTATCTCAGTAGGTATTATAAAGTTGAACAAAACAGTAGAGAACAAGACCAATAAAACCTAAACCTTGTAAACACTACAGGACTTCCAAAGAAGATAATAGTCAAACCAGAATGGGCATCATAGTGAATCTTATTGCCTTCAAAGTAGTTGCCTATACCTTCAAAATTGATACTATCATACAGAACGGAACAGAGTCTAATCAGTCAAAACAAGATAGTGGGAGTATTACAGGACTTCAAATCAAGTTAATAGGAAATCAAATAAGTTACTATAATATATCCTGCTAATTTTTTTGATTTTTCCCATTAATTAAAAAAATCATAAAAAATAACTAAATAATTTTTTTAATGAATAAGGAAGAGATTCAGATAAAAGAGGGCATAACATCATAACAGTACAGGTCAAAGCATGACAGTTTCAGCAACCTAGTGCTTCACCACCAAATAACCTGGTTTAATAGTAGTTACCATAGTGTCTTTTCCCTTGAAATATTTTAATATAACTTCATATACTATAGCTTCAAACATCAAGTCAGTGTAAAACCATTCAGGTGGATGAAAGCATTGTAGGGTTTTATTTCTTGATAATTGTTTTCATAGAAACATTCACAGAAAATTTCCAATAATTTTACTCATTAGAAGAATAGTATTTTTCATGAATGTTATTTTTATAAGCTTTTATTTTACTTTATCATGAAGATTGAGTTCTGAGGGGCTGGGGTTTTAGCTCAGTGGCATAAGCGCCTGCCTTGCAAGCAGGCAGTCGCGAGTTTGATCCCCGGTACCGATAAAAAAGAAAAAGACAAAAAAAAAAAAAAAAAAGATTTAGTTCTGAGAATCATATTTAGGGGGAGAAAAACAGAATCCTGTAGTACTGCTTAACTGTATTCTCAGTTAACTTCATTTACAAATTTAAGTTTTTAATTTAATTTTTAATTGGCCTGATATTTTAAGCTTTTTGAAGTTATCAAGAGTTGTAATTAGAAAAACTAATCTATCATTATACATATTTGATGGTTAAGTTATTCAGGGTCATTTTATTTATCAATTTTTCCTAGGGCTGTCATTTTTTAATTGGTAAAATTGTTTTCAGGATTTTGAATGTTTTACTCTGAGAACTCAAGTCACGTTGTTTTAAAAGCAGCATCAGCTTTTTTATTATCCTGTGCGCAGACATCTTTTACACAACCCTCACTATTTGTGGCAGCTTGGAATGATTTTGTTTCATTTATTGCTGCAAAATGACATTTAGGGGCCATGCAAAATAGTTTTGTAAATAAGTAACAACCAAACCCAGTTTTCTAGGCTTTTTTGAGAGCTATATATGAAATTTTTAGTTCTAATACTTAACACTATGTCAGGTAAAATTTTTCCTTGTCATAGTGAAATGAAACAAATCTATCGCCAACCCAAAATACAGGGGTGGCAACTCTTATCATTTTCTCCGCCTCAAAAAAAAGTAGAAAGAAGAGAAAGTAGAATCAAGCCAACAACAAGGGAAATAGCTTACTTTCCCTTCAACCTGTTCAGAAAGCTTCTTTACAATCTTTTCTAGCATCAAACATTTTATTACCAGGTCCGGTGAAATTCAAAAGGATGATTGCAACTTCTTAGGACACTAATCTAATGGAAAACCTTTCTCCCTTACTGTCAATGCCTATTAAATCTCAGTAACACTTACTCTATGTTTAGTAATGTGCCTAAATATGAAACTGTTTCAGTAAGACATTAAGGCAGCCCATGTTGATTTTCCTGTTGTCTGGTTTTGAAGGCTAGTAGTGCTTTCATTCTTTTATTTTGATCAGTTTTATACTATTTTGCTTTGTTTGAATTCAATGTGTATGAAGAAATGGACAACTATTTTGGAGAGTACAGCAGACATTGTGGTAGCCATAGTTGATTTCCTGTTGTCTTGAATTCCTGTGTTGCTTGCATTGTTTTTTTTTCTGATCTTGTTTGTTCTGTTCTGTTTTGTTATGTTTTTTTCTCTTTAAAATTAAAAAAAAAGAAACTGTTTCAAGACCTCTAAATTAATTCTGTATTCAGCTATTAATTTGTATTCCTGTGGCTCAGCACATCTCAGACTTACTATTTGGTCCTGAATCACCATCAGTAGCTAGACAGAGAAACAACATCTTCAACTACAGCACTTTGAAATGATATGTCTTGAAAGAATTGATAATGCACTTAGAAGTTGTCTGGTTGTTTTAAATGGTTGTTTCATTCCTGGTTTTTTTGTTTTGTTGTTTGTTTTTAGTTCATTTGCTATAGATATTAAAAAGATGCTAATAAAGAAATTATTCAAAGCCAGCAAAGGAATAAGTTAGTGTTTATGAATACTAGAACAATACAGATGTGAATACTAGGAAGCTTTGGACTTTGCAATCATTTCAATAGGCTACTTAGGTTTCATTCCTCCTTTCCCCTTTGTACCTACTTCATCCTCCCAGAAGATGTAAAGAGTAAAAATTCCCTTTATGATCTCACAGTTCATCTTTGGATAAACCAGACATAATTTGTAAACATCTGTTAGAGTGTCCCAGGTATACAGAACCAGTCATGAAGATTACATTTGTTTTGGGGAACTGGTACCTGTATATTAACTATTTTCAGTCCTCTTCTTTTCCCCTGCACTCCCCCTACCCCATTTCTAGATTCATCAACATCAGGCTAATTAGTTGCGGTTCTTTCTGAAGCTCTGATTTTGAGATCCTTCCCAACTATGAGTTGTAAATACTTTAAAGGCAGGGCCTCTATCCTTTTCATTTTATGATACAAAACCTTTTTGAGTAGCTAACCCACAGACAGTCCTCACAAATAATAAATGCTTAAATAAATCTTGACTAAACAGTGACAGAATCTGTCTACATACTAAGTATTGACTTCTAAAATTCTTTCTGTCTTTTAGACTACTTTTATGGGTAGTCCTCCTTGAAAATAATTTTGTTCCAGAAGAACCACTGGAAATAAAAAATATATTGAAAGTAAATATATAATTATCATTTTAATGAATCAGGTATCTGTTAAGCTCAATTCAGTGTAGGTACAATCTAAAGAATAAACCTGCTTTAAGAAATTAATTTGACTGGTTTCATATCTTGAGAAAGGTAAGATCAGAGTAGATGAAGGTGGTTGATCTAGTTCATTAGTACAATACACATAAAACTAATTTAGTAATACAACCATGTATAGACAAATCATGGGTGACCAATCAGAATGGGTTTTTAAACAGCTAATTTGATTTAATAAAACTTTGTTTTATGTAAGTGCTGCAGGATTCTAGTTTTTTGGACTGAGATTTATAGCTTTAAATTCTAATAGAACTGTATAGTAGTTTAAAAGGGATTTTTTTTTTTTTTTTTTTTTTTTTTTTTGGTACCAGGGATGGAACTCATGACCTTGTGCTTGTCAGGCAGGTGCTTAAGCCACTGAGCTAAATCCCCAGCCTTACAAAGGGATTTTAAAAACACCTCAGAACACGATGTGCTTTATCCTAAATATAATAGACATTTTCTAGGAAAGTTTAGTGGAGTAAGTTTGCTTTATCTGTTTAATCCCTTCTGTTATTTCAAAAGGGAAGGCAGGAGCTTAAGATCATAAAACACCATCAAAGCAGAGCTTTACTATGCTATTAGATAATGTTATTAAACTTTAAAAGTTCCTTTGAAAGAACCATTACGGACTTCCTGGTGAATCTCTGATCTCTGATTACATGTCACATGGGATAAGCAGATATATTGCAAATGAACTAAAAGCAACAGAGTCTGGAAGGTGAATAAAAGCCAAATACCCTTGTTTCGCTAAACCAGCAGGTTGAAGACCTAGATCTTTCATCCTTGGAAAGAATACTGAACTTCTTTTTTCATGTTTTAAAACATTTTTATCCAGGTATAAAGCTTATATACAGCTTGCCAATTTAAATGTATAACTTGATGAATTTAGTAGCCAGAGTTGTGCAGCCATCAACACAGTCAGTTTTAGAACATTTTTATCATTCAGAAGGGAACCCGACTGGTCATTCCTCAGGTTGTCTTGCCTGCCTTAGCCCTGGCTCTAGGCAACATCTGATCTTTCTGTCTCTATAGGGTTACCTATTCTGAACACTTACTATAAAGAGAACCATACAGTTTTTTTGTGATTGGCTTTTATCATTGATCATAATATGCTTAAGGTTTGTCAGTGTTTTAGCATTTATCAGTACTTCTTTCTTTTTATGGCCAAATTACTCTTTATTTGAATATACCAATTTTTTGTTTACTCATTTATTTATGGGTAGATACTTGGTTTGTTCCCACTTTTTGACTCTTTTTTTTTAAATTTTATTTAAAAGGAAAAAGAGAAAAAACAAAACAAAACAAAGTGGTATAAGGGTACAAGTAATACAGAACTACAAAAAAAAAAAACAGTAAGAAATCACCAGTTAATATATTACACATTATCATATTAGAGATAGTTGCTCAAGACACAGAATCAAAGCATACAAAGTGAACATTCAAACAGAGAGACTGCAAAAAGTTGTATTCAATGATCCAACCAAAAACATTAATATGGTCAGCTATTTAACACCCCTAAACACACTTGCAGTTGTATCCTTTAGAGCACTTTTTTTCCCTCTCTTTTTTTACAGCAACATTTACACATTTTGGGTTTCATTACTCCTTAGTTCTTACTACTGTTTTTTTTTGGAAGAGAATAAAGTCAAATATGGCAAAACAAAGCTGTCCACTCTTTGACTCTTATGAATAATAGTTATGAACAGTTGTATAATAAATTTTTGTGTGAACATATTTTCATTTCTCTTGAATATACAGAATCACTGGGTCATACAGCAGCTGCGTGTAAACTGTTTGAGGAGATGCCAAAGTGTTTTCCAAATTGCGGCACAAATTTGCAGCACAAATTTCCACAAGCAATGTATGAGCATTCCAGTTTCTCCACATTTGCCCCCAAATTTGTTTTTGTTTTATTAGTGCCATCTTGTAGGTATGAAGTGGTATCTCATTGTAGTTATTAATTTGTATTTCTCTAATGACTAATGATTAGCATTGAGCATCTCTTTCACTCAATCTTTTGGAAGAGAATAGTATATAGAAAGCTCAGTTTCATGGATATTCAAAAATGTATTATTTAAACCTAAGCAAAATAGCCAGTTTTATATCCATTACATTTAATTCAATTTATATGAATGCTACTTGATGTTTTGAACCAAGTTTTATGATGATGTTTAATAATTTGTGATGATATTTGGACCTGCATTTTTTTTCCATTGAGAATTATCTGACTAATACCAGGATAAATTTCAAATATAGAGCACCATTTCAGATATCATGAAGCAGTTGTATGCAGTATAAGTTAAGACATTTACTGTTTCTGATTGCAGAAAAGAAGCAAAACAAACTTTTTAAATTGGAATAAATATCAGGGTAGATAACATTTACTGACCTGGAATAAACACAGTAATTTATAAAAATGGCCCACATTGTTGATGTGAATATATAAAACATAAATATTCATTCAAGTTCTAGACTTTAACATTACAGCATTCTATGAAAGATCTTATCTGAAACTTGAGTAATGAAATAAATAATTTATTTGGGTTCCCTTTTGCCCTAAATCCCATAATTACATAATTCCTGTTTAAGATCAAATTTTTTAAAGCATGGTATTTTAAACAACCCAACTACTCACATGTTATGAGCCAAGAAACTTATCTTTTTGTTTCAAAAAATAACTTTGAGACTTTGTTTATATGACAATTCTGTACTTATTCCAGATTGTGTCCTTATAATTTATTCACATGTATTAAAATTTTAACAAGTTTCTGACAAAGAACAGGTGAGATAAGTCAGGAGTCATTAGAAGTTCAGCACAGTATTTTGGTCATTATTTGGAATTCCTAAGTGAGAGGAAACAGATTGGTTTGGTTACATTATTCTTTCTGTGCCAAATAAACAATTGGGAAAACATTAAATATCCTTTAGCTTTATATCTGCTTCTAGGCTAGATATGCTTAGTGGTCACAGTACTACTAGCATTCTTAGATGTTCGATATTTAATGATAGCATTTGAAAAACATTTTAATATATAGCATAAAAATTAATTTATGGGAATCTATTGAATGACTTAGTATGACCATTCAGGGAGCATTTATTGAATGCTAATTATGTTAGGACACTGCTGGCCAGAGGACGGTGCTGAAGTTTATGGGAAATCCTCAGGGATGGGTTACTATATGAAGTGCTGTTTAAATCTGAGTACAGTTAGGATATTCATAGGGGAGCTAAAACTAAGAATAGCATTAGCTCTGAAAAAAAATCCCAAAGATAGTTGTAAATAAAGCCTTTCTATTAAGCAATAGATAGGCAGTATCATACATCTGAGAAATATTTAAGTGTTCACTAGCATAGTTTAAGCAATAAGGGAAACAGTTGGGAAACAACCAAAAAGAGAGACTTCAGCTTTTAAAGGACTAATGGAATGCATAAAAGCATGAATAGGGAATAACATATTACAGAGTCAGTGGGTTGGGATGGACAGAGGTCAAATCAAAGGGAGCAGTTGAATGATGAAAAATATAGCGCTATAAAAGCTGAAATACCTCATTGCCCCCTTTTGCTATTTAGTCAGGGTTTTTTTAAAGGCAATAATTTGAGAAGGACATTGAAAGCCATTTTAATCTTTCCTATTGCCTCAAAAATGTCAAAAGGGCAGCCCCATTTTCAAGTCTGTAACAAGGTTAAAGATCATTGTAAAAGAGAATTTTTTAGCAAAAAAAGTTAACAGTTTCAGTTAAATTGGAAGATCATGCCAATTTTTCTGCTCTCAAGATTCATTAACATGATAATAAAGTTTAAAAAATAAGTTTGCAAGGACCAGACAATAAAATGGGGCACATCAATGGTTAAGAGATCTAACCAAAGTTTGGAAGACACCTAAAGGAAAGTGGTCTGCATAGATGACTTGGTAGTTGATGTGACAGAGAACCTGGAATTAAAGCATATTTGTATGTATAATTATATATGTGAAAAACAAAAGATACTATTAACTCGAGACACTAAAAGCTATACCAAATACACAGCTTGGTTTTGCAAAGAATATTTACATATTCATGATCATGCAAATAGTAATCATTTAATGAACCAGAAGTAGGGTTCTAATGCTATGAAGGACTAGGGAAAGAAGTGAAGGAAAGAGAGAATGTTTAACTGAGTTCCCTGCTAAAAACTCTAGTGTGGCTTCCAGTTACAATTAGAGTAAAAGTGAAATGCTTCACTTTGGTTTTAAATTTCCTGCATTATTGGCTCCCTATCTGCCTCTGCTCTCCTACCCTTCCCTTTTTCTGTTTGTTTGTTTTTGTTTATTTGGTACAACTCTTCCCTTCTTTTCTTTTCCTTTGTTTTGTTGGTTTGGTAGCAGGGTTCAAACTCAGGACCTCTCACTTAGCAAGCATGCACTTGAATCACTGAGCTAAATCCTGGCCCCTAAGTTTCCCTTCTTTAATCTCTCTTCAGTGACAGTGACATTCTTTCCCTCCTATAAACAAGTCAAGGTTCTTTACCTCCTTGAGGACTTCCTCCTTGAACTTTCTTCTATGTAAAATGTTTTTTAAGTGGAAAATAAATCAGTCCCCAGTGCCATTGTCTTTCACAGTGAGAGAATTTTAGCTCACCAGTGTGGCTGCCCACAATAGAAACAACATTTCAAGTTTCTCCTGAAGCTTGGTATGTCCAAAAAGATGTGAAAAGGGAAGTTACTGAGTTGCGCTCTGACAGAGAGAGTGTGTGCCCTGCTGCTCCTTCCACTTTGCCGTTTTCAGTATAGATGTGAGTGAGCCATGTGGGCCATGCATGTGAGGGGCTGGAGTAGCAAGGAGAAGGGGGAGCCTGGACCTTGGGTGGCCTGCATGCAGGATACTGTAAAAGGCAATAATAATAATAAACTTCATTTGCTTAAACTATTAATACAGTGTCTCTGTCACCTGTATCCAAACCATACCTTTTTACTGTTCCCCTAGATGTTCATATTGCAGACAGCTTCTTACCATTCAGGGCTCAATTCTCACCCCAGACACTGCCTCAGGAAAGCGTGTCTTGACCACTCTACTAAGTCTTCCAGGTTTTTATCTGTGCTAAAGTTTAGATAGCCAGAATGGCCAGTGGCAGTGGTAGAAGTTGTGCATGAGCTCACCAACATGGACTTCTACTGACCAATACTGAGCTGCCTAGAGCATTGCAGAATGTCCAATGTATCAGCAGCAGAGACCAACACTTGAGTTCCCAATATGACACCATTCTCCAGGGTGATCAGCCTGTGATGTGGTGTCAGGTTGATTATATTGGAATACTTCCATCGTAGAAATGGCAGCACTTCGACCTTACTGGCATAGACAGTTATTCTGGGTATGGATTTGCCTTTCCTTCACATAACAGTCCTGTCACATGATGGATTTAAGGAATGCCTTATCCATTGTCACATTTCCACACAGCATTGCTCTGAGCAAGAAACCTATTTCTTTTTTTTTTTTTTTTTTTTTTTGTCTTTTTCATTTTTACCGGTACCAGGGATCGAACTCACGACCGCCTGCTTGCAAGGCAGGTGCTTATGCCGCTGAGCTAAATCCCCAGCCCCAAGAAACCTATTTCATGGCCAAACAAAGGAGACAGTAGGTTCATGCTCATGAAATTCACTGGTCCAACTATGTTCCACATTATCTGGAAGCAGCTGATTTGATGGAAAGGGGAAGTTGTAATGTTACTCCAAAACGGAGGAAAGAAAACCTATTTTGGAGTACAGAAGATCTCTTACGGGTGTCTCCATTTCCATGCCCTCTTATTAAGATCAATGGGAAAGTACAACAAATCAATCCAGGCAGTATGACAAATGGCCCAGTACCTTTAGGAAGGAAGATATGGGTCATTCCACTAGGTCAAGAACAAGCCCTGCTGAAGTACTTGCTGAAAGTCAGAACATAGAATGGGTAGTAGGAGAAGGTACTTACAAACACCAACTACAACTGTATGACCCATTACAGAAACAAGAGTTATGATTTTTCTCTCCTGTATTGTTAATATGCTTATACATATAAACATATCAATATATATGTGTATCTGTATATATATATACATATATACACACATACATTTATATATTGTTTCTTAGTTTTTGTTGTTTTGTTTTGTTTTTGAGAGTCTCACTGTGTAATTTGCGCTATCCTTGAACTCCTGGCAATCCTCTTGCCTCAACCTCGCACAGGTTGGGATTATAGGAAGGTGTCACCATACCTGATTGTTTTCTTTCTTTGTAACATGATGTTGATAGACTTAATATTGGTTCCTAAACATGATTAGATCTGCATTATAGTGTTTAAGTTATGGAATATTAGGGGAAGAGTAAGCGTCACCTAAAGGAAAACTGCCTTCTGTACTGGGAATTAAGGCAGTTTGGGCTTTATACAGAATACTAGTACCACGTTCAGTATAATTATGAACTTGCTATTGTGTTTGGAGACTAAATATGGGTTAAGGAAATGTGCCTAATTGTTGACAAGGAGTGGATTATGACAGTTAATTGTGATGTCAACTTGAATGGATTGTGAAACACTTGGTGGATTAGCAGAGCTCACTTCTAGGTATGTCTGTGGATGGGTGACATGTAGAACAAAAACTAAAGAGTGAAGGCCCACCCTGGATGTGGGTGGCACCAACCAACAGGCTTGTAGCCTAAACAGCATAAAAAGGGAAAGAACAAGGAAGTCTTCTCTTTTGCTTCTTTAAAGGAGCTTCGGTCAATGCCACCACTGCCTTGGAACATTTGTCTGTTCCTTCAGGCTTCCAATGTAGATTCCAGCCTCCCAACACAGACCTTCTGGCTTTCTCACATAGGTGTGCACCAGACTCTGCAGTGAGCTCCAGGTTTTCAAGCATTGACTGGATCCCTTGACTTTCCAATGAGCATTCAACCATTTTGTATTCTTCCACTCCTGTTTCCACAGGTGGCCATTGTAAGCTGGGAAAGCGAGAAGCCGAGGTGAGCTTGGACTCTAGGTGCCCTGCATTCAGGCTCCTTTCTGTAAGATGCAAAAAGATACACTTCATTTGCTTAAGCTGCTGTTACCATATCGCTGTTACCATCCCCTAATTAAAAATAGCTCTTCTCCTCAGTGTTCATAGTGCAGGCCCTGTTCATCACTCAGGGCTCGACTCCGATACTGTCTTAGAAAAATCTGTCTGCATCAGTCTGTTGGAAAAGTCTGTCCGTCAGTTTTCTATCACTGCCTAAATTGCTGGATAGCACACAGAGGTCTACTAAATTGTTTTACTTAGTGCTTTAGTTTTTGTCTTTCTCAAGTTTCATGAGTGGAACTGTCTTGCCTTTTGCTGAATCCTTAATGCCTGGAACAGTGCCTGGCACGTAACAGATGAGTAGCAGATATTTGTTGAATTATTGACTATGTAAAACTGACAAAGCAATAAACAAAATAGATAAACCAATTTTTAAAAGCAGCATAGATACATGGTTTGGTAATGTAGAAGTAAATTAGAAGAAATAATAACTAAGATATGCTTAAATGGCTATCTCTATAGGCCCACAGCTGAAGTGGGACAGGTACCATGGAGAGCTATGTTATTATACAATCTTTGATGCAAATTTCATTTTTAAATTTGTGCATATGTAAGTTTAGAAAACAGAACATTTAAACAAAGTACTGTACAGTTATTAAAATGTTATGGGAGGATAATGTTTGATGATATGAGCCAGGAATTATACATACCTATGATCTCAGCCCTTGGGAGGCTGGCAGGAGGATCACCATGAGTTAGTTCAAGGTCAGTCTGAACTACATAGCAAGACCATTTCTCAAAAAGCCTAATTAAATAAATAATATGGAAAGATAGCCACAAAATGGAAAATACAGAAAGTAATATAACATTATGCATAATAAGATTTCATTTTTATTCATATATAAAGAACATACATGTAGGGCTGGGGATTTAGCTCAGCGGCATAAGCACCTGCCTGGCAAGCGCGAGGTCATGAGTTCGATCCCTGGTACCAGAAAAAAAAAAAAAAAAACATGTAAAATGATGCTGTATTATAGTTCATGCATATGACCAATTCCTAACTTTGATATAAATGGATATTCCATTTCTACTAATATAACTACTGTTTCCTGATTAACAACATTGAATAACTATTTGAAGACTTTATGATTAAAGGAACCCAGTTGGGTCAGGAATATAGCTCAGTGACACAGCAACTGCCTGGCAAGCATGAGGTCCTGAGTTCAGTTCCCAGTACCAAAAAATAAATAAATAAGTAAATAAATAAAGGAACCCAGTAGGAACTTGTTTCCCAGAACCCTTCCTTTTAGCCATTAGGAGTTTACCCTTATCGTAAGAACTGTGAGAAACCATGGGAGTATGTTAAGGAGAGATGGTGTGATCAGGCAAATTTGCAGAAATGAGCAGAATCAGAGAAATAAATTAGGAAGCTATTAAGATAATCAAGGCAAAAAAATAATATGGCTGTGTTGTGAGCTACTGGTTATTCACTGAGCAATGAGAGAAGGATCAGTGTGGGAGAGGGAGCCAGAGGGCTCAGTGTAGATGTCCTGAGCTCCAGATGCCTGGTTCTCATTCAAGTGAAGGCATTCAGTGAACAGGCAGATATGTAGGTCCAGAAAACTTTGGCCACAGTTTGAGGGCCATTGGCACCCAGAGGATACCCACAGTCAGACAATGATGATACATTTTCTTCAAAGGGTGAGAGGGAAATATAAGAGCAAAGCTCCCAAGTTAAAGGACAGGGAGGAGAATCAAAAAGAACAAACAGCAAGGTAGAAGGGAAAAAGTTTGTTGTGGAAGAAGGGATAGTTTGTAATAAGAAATGCTGCCAACACAGAATTAAGATCTGAAAAATGGCCATTGTATTTAGAAGAGGGGAGCCCTTGCTGATGATCATCAGGAGAGTTTGGGGAGACACAAGCAAACTGCAGATTGAGGGCCCTGAGTGGCAGGGAGACTGAGACCCATGAAGTGATCTACCACCTTCTCTTTCTTAATACTTTTCCTCTTCTAATTTTAATGAGTCTCTGAACTTGTACCCACCACTAAGTTGTCACCTTCTTATCAAAGTTCCAGTGACTAGCTTGGCAGCGGGGAGCTTTTTCCACTTGGTCACCTTTGCCTTCAGTTCCCTCCCTGTCAGTAAGCTGACAGAGACTTGTTTGTGCTGGTTCTGAATGTGGCTCCTACAAAACCGACCCTCAGATACTTGCTTTTCTACTTTGTGATGCCATTCACAGCTCATTTGGGTCCTTTTTTCTTTTCTACAGCAAGCACACATAAATACACAATCCAAAAATCTCGAGAGTAATAAGTTTTAAAACACTAGAATTAAAAATTAGGCTGACATCATATTCTTGACTATTGGCTGGTATTTGGAGCACATATTTTTCCAAATTTTTTTAGCCAAGGACATTCTCAGCATAGTTATTTCCCAAGCACAAATTTTATTCCCCTCTTATTTCTTCCCTCAAGACATTATTTCTCTTTTTAACGGTCACAATTCCAGGATATTATTAGAATTAATCATTCCCACTTCTTTCTTCTCCTTGAACAACATAAAGTCTCTCTGTCATCTTTTCCTTTTTTCATTTCTTAATTTTCACTTTGTAAATAACTCCTTGAAGCAAACTGATTTGGCAAATTACATGGAACTATAAGAGCACAATTATTTTATATACAGGATACCATGTTCAAATTACATTTTTCCTTGTTACACCATGTCTCATCATTGACATGTTATTCTACAAATGCTTCCCTGAGAATCTTCTGAGTGGCAGGCATCTTGAATGTGCTGTAGATATCAATAGCACATCAAGGCCTAATCCAGTGTCTGGCCCTAACACTAATTCTAGCAGGACGTTTGGAAGAGAAGAGCTCAGATTCAACACTTGGAAAACCGCAAAGATAAAGCCACAACAACATCCCACAGGGAAGTGACGGTCTCTGCCATACTCACCTAGATGGGCCAATAAAGGGATGGATGACAGGTGCTGAGGACATTTTGAGAATTAGCTTGAGTCTGAGGCAAAAGGATGTGACTTAGAGACCAGCCTGCACCACACAGTGAAACCCTGCCTCAAAATAATAATAATTAGTAAAAATGAGTAAAGCACCCCATCTCCCCAACATGGCTCCTTACCTGGTGAAGCTCTTTTAGTTGGAAAGATCACCAGCCAAAGGAAGTAGACAAGTTTGCCAGCTCCAGTTAAATAAGGTGAAATTAACCAAGTAAGCTGAGTACATGTCTTAGTCTATCTGTGCTGCTATAACAAAATGCCTGAGTAACTCATAAATAATAATTTATTTATCACAGTTCTGGAAGTTGGAGACTCTAAATTTAAGGTACCATTACATTTAGCTAGAATGAAAAAACTGATCTCTAGGACCTGCCTCTACAGTTCTATGAGTTTTTAGTTCAGCAGCTGTTTTTTTTTTCCAGAGTGTTTCATGCTCTACCAGATCTTGGACATGATCACATTGTTTAAGCTGATTGTTACAGTGGACCCATTCTATGTTATTAAAATATGTCAGGTGAGAAAATGTTTTGAATCAATTTGTTTCATTATTCATTATTTAGCTAATTTTTCTTGTGTATAAAAAGAACTTCCTCTTGCTTAGGTTTGGGACCTTGGTGGTAGAGCAGTGGAGGAATCCACTCCTCACAGTGGAATTAACTGTAATATGGTTGTACTGATTGCAGGATGATGCATGAGCCAGTAGCAATGAAGTGGCCATCCATCAATAAGTGAAGGACTGAGCAAAAATAGAGCATGAGTTCTTTGGTATTCCCAGCACATAGTGAGCACATAAAAGGAGAACAAAGCCACAGATGCAGATTGCTCACTCTGAATGTATTGATACAAATAATTGGTAAATTCTGTGTATTATACCAATTGCTGAACGCTGACTTATGGTTCAGAACTGCAGTGTCTTGATTCAACTTAGTGGTGCAATATATGAAGAGACTTCATTAAATCTTTAGAACTTCTTTGGTGATTCCTGTGGGATTTCAGTTGGATTTTCTTTGAGAAGGTGGCATAGATTTTTAGCTCCTACTGGGAACATGGAGGACAAGGATATTCTGCTTTTGGGAAAAAGGAATAGCTTTTTAAAGTCTGTTCTTTTTTCTCTCTCAGGGTTATTCTCCTAGGATAACACCTTGCTCTGCAACAAGGTGAGTAAAAATCACTGTCAGGATTTATACGCCATGGCTGATGGTTAGCCTGTTTTTGCAATTCCTTTCTTTCCAGTCCAACAATTGAATGTCCAAAAGACAGTGAGCATTTCCTTCTGTTTATCCCTAAACTGTCCATAGGGACATTTTTCATCATTTCCTGGCATGGTGAGAGAGATGTTAACCAACTGCCATCTCAATGCTCAGATTAGCGTCAAGACTAACTGAGCAGCTGGTTTGCTTCACTGATAAAAGAATGAAAGGCCTTAGGTAACCCTTGCTTTTAAAAGCTTTGACGGTGTTTGCAACCTCTTAAATTAGTCGTGCTACCCTCATATTCCGCAAGGGATGCTCCAAAAATTACTGCTTCTTCCCTAGGCTGTGAGTTGCTCTGGTTACTAACCTTAATGAGTACCTTTAGGTTTTCAGTGGGGGTGTCTGAGAGCCTTGTAGCAGCCTCTTCCTTAGCTCCGTGTGTGATAGCTTTGTACCTGGTGAGACACTGGATGGCTCCCTGTTTGCCAGTTCCCATCATGCAGGTGGAGCAGGATGGGGAGGAATGCTGTCTTGCTAGGCTATGAATATTCTATACTACTGAATTTCTCCATGAGTTTACGTCTTGTCTACATACCCGTCTTTAAAAATAAGAGAGGTAATTTATTCCTAATCAATGAATTCTTCTAGAAGTTGGTGTACTTCCTTCATCTTCTTAAAAATAAACAGGGTTGGATAATGAGAGAAGAAAAGAATATCTGCCTAAATTAACCAAAAGAGGAGGCGGACTAAGAAGTAGAGAAAAAAGGAGGGGATGTAAAAGGAGCAGGAAGAAAATAAGGAGCAGGAGAAGAAAGAGAAGACAGTCTGATGATGAAATAAGACCATTTTTTTTTTTATTAAAACAAAGCATTTGCCTTTGTCTGTTCCTAAGACATCCAGAAACCTGCCATGGCAGAATCAGTTCACTCCAGAAAGACCTTTAAACTCCTCATGGGTGCCTGTCTCTGCTTAGACAAAAGTTACTCAGAAGACAGCTTGACAAGATTGAAAAGATTAATGAACATAGTCTTCATTCCAGGGTTTTCAAGATCAGTGGGAGGGGGAAAAAAAGAAAGAGGAAAGAAAAGGAAGAAGAGGAAGAAAAGTTTTTAGGTCTAAATCAGTCTTCCTAGGATTAGGGTCTGAGATCTTGGGAATGTGTAATCTGTAGAATTTTTTTTTTTTTTTTGCTTTTGTTTTTAAAAATTGAAAAGCCCTCAGATGATTTTTTTGTTGTTGTTGTCATTTTTTTGAGACAGGATTTCACTGCGCAGTTCAGACTGGGTTTGAACTCGCTCTGTAGCCCAGGCTGGCCTCAAACTCCCAGCAATCCTCCTGCCTCAGCCTCCCCTTTGCTGGGGTTACAGGCATGCACCACCACTCCTGCTCCCAGATGATTCTTGATGCCAGTAAAAAGTTGAGAATCATTGTTTTAATCTACAGAATCAGAATTGTTTTTCTTCCTCTAAAACATAAACTGTAGTGGTTGTAGACTTGAATCATCAGGAAAAAAGGTGAGTGTTGCTTAGCTAACAGCATCCTGAAACATTAAAAAAATATGTACGTAAAATATTGGAAAAGAGTTTCCCGGCTGCTATGCCACAGAGTCAGTCATCATAAAAGATGGATAATCACCCATTTAAGAATAAGAATTATGAACTCCATCTGCTAGAAGCTTAAGAATGCAGTATGTGCATTCTTAACCGATGACACACCTGAAATCAGTGTGGATAAGGAGAGAGCTTTGTTAGACGATCTTAACACACCTTACTGCAGTAAATTTCTAGCACAAACTGCCTTCTGGTAGGTAGATGGTTCATTGCCACAGTTTGGATATTGTAGGATCAGGAAATACAGCTGACTTTTGATAGTATTATCGTCTGAGATGGAAATACTTTGGGATCTAGTGCCCAGCCAGGTCACTGGCTCACTCTCACAATGCAAACACATGCCACTGGCTTTTCTTTGTTGTAGGATTAACATGCAGAAGCTTCCAGAAAATAAGGGGGGAAGAAAGAAAAGGTCATGGGAAAAGGGCACCCAGCTAATAATGTAATGAGAGATAAAGCATCCTTGTGCCACTGAAAACCTGTCATCTGAAATACCCCAAGGCAAAAACCAACCAACAAGCAAACAGCAACTGAAAGATCCCCTGGCTTTCCATTTTATACCCCTTTTTAACCCATCTATTAGATTTCATTTTTCAAGAGTGGGAATAAAATAAAGAAATTCTTACATTTTTAAACTTAAAGTAGGATCATTTAAGCAATTGAAATGAAAGATTAAAAACTCAAAAGAAAACAATTTGGTATCCAGAATTAAAGTTTTTGAGTGATCCATAATCTACTTTGAGTGGATTTTTTAAAAAAAAATTTTTCATGGAGAAACTAGTTGGATAGAAAATAATTCTGTTTTTCGTTAATAAGGGCTCATATTGATAAATAAGAGATTTTTCCATTTTTACTCAATCCTGACAAGTTTTGACAAATACTGCTGATTTATGGACCCTACATGTCATGTTTGTTTTGCATTTTGGCCTTTCTAAAGAGCTGGCAAATGAGAAAGGTCTGTTTGGCAAAGGGAAAAAGAGAAAAAGCTGGTTAGGAAGAGGAGGAAAAGGCCTGTGTAAACACCTTACTGTGGGAAAGGCTTACAACACTTGAGCTGCTCAAGAATACAATATGGAAGCTGATGTGGGTGGATCATGGTGATTTCAGAGATAGTGACAATATTTGTGGTGGTGTTGTCATACAGAGCCTGGCTGATTGTGGCAAGGGAATTGGGTTCTGTATTAAGGGAAATAGAGTATTATTGGAGGCTCTGGGAATGCCATTCAAGATAGATATTTTATTTCTCAAAATTTGCAATGAATAAAGTTAGAATAAGAAAATAATATAATAATCCATATTTTGTTATTGTCTTGAATTTTGGAGCATCTTTTTTTTTTATTTTTAAATTTTTAAATTTTAATTTTTTTTGTACCAGGGATCAAACTCACAACCTCACACTTGCCAGGCAGACACTTATGCATACCATTGAGCTAAATTCCCAGCCTTGGCCATTTGATTACTTATTGACACTGATTAACCTATTAGATCTCACATTTTTTATAAATCAATAAATAATACTTGAAGCAATTACCATACTTTGGGGATAAATAAAAATGTAGCCAGGAACTAGCTGAGTCATAATAATTGCTTGATGATTGCTTACTGAATGTCAGAGCTGTTAGCTACATGATCTTAAGATACTGTCTTCCCAAACTGTTAATGTACAGGAATCTAAAAGAAGTTTAATAGAATTTTCTAACTAGGCTACTCTAGAATCTAATATGATGTTAGATTCTAACACTGAGGGATGTGATTTCAATGCTCTGTTATTTCCAGAGGAATAAAAGATACCCTTTAGACACCCTCAGCATCCTTGAATGAATCAGCTGGACATATCCAAGAACTTTTTTTCTTGAAATTATTCACATATTCAACTTATATTTCCTGGTGGGATGAGGAATTTTTAATTTTATAAGGTATTCAGAAATGTGTTAGCTTATAATCATTTCTTTCAAATTATGTTGTCAAAACATCAACTTCTGTACTCTTAGTTTCCACCCAAGCTTAGTGGCTTAATGGTCTCTGGTTCTGTGAGGCACCGTAAGGAAAGAGAACAGCATGACAGGGCTTCACAGTCCTAGAAGCCTGGCCAATGAGGATGGGAAGAGGGAACAAGAGGAGGGGCATTATCCAAACACAGATTAAAAAGGGCCATTGATTACAATGTTTGCTGTCTGAATTCCTCAGGAAAAAAGAAACCAAAATGTTATGAGAACCCAAATGAAAGCAGTCTCAGTATAGTCAGAAGCGCAGGAATGAAACAGCCTTGGAACTCTTGCACCTTCAAAGCACATTGTTTAACCTCTTTAAGCTCCCTTACCTCTATGAAGTGGACTGGTGTTTTGTCTTTGCCTTCTGCGGTGACTATAATGATAAATGAAAGGCTTCTTGTATGCTGAGTACTTAGCACAGAAATGATGCTCTGCTAGGCTCATACTGCACAGAAAGTCATCCCCAAGTTCCCTGCAAGTTTCATCCTGAGGAACCCTAACATGACAGCTCTGAACCTCTCCAATGGGTCTGGGGAAATGGCCATTCGGATTGTTTAAAAATTGTGAGTTCATTGCAGTTTGGCTTGCATATCCCTTCCTGAGAACATTTTGTTGACATTTCTTTTTAATTATAGTACTTTGAGCTCACACTTTGAGAAACCACAAGGACAACTTGTGATCATAATTATTTAAGTGTGGTTTCCTTTATTCTCTTGCCTACACTGAATATTTCTACTTTCTATCCTGGCCTTTTCAGAACTGAGCAAATTCTGCTGTTGATTTCTACTAGCTTGGCATTCTGCTTCTAGGAAAATCAATATGATGTACAAACTTGAGATTTCAGTTCTTAATCACCTAGCTGTTTCTAGCACCAATGCTTGAGAGATTATTAATATTTGTAATTTTCCATTTAGTGAAGGATTATCCATCTAGTTCTTAGTTCTGGCCAGGACTGATTTTGAGTATTAAGTCCATTAGGCTGAGCTAATTTACGTGTTAGCTTTAGATGGCCATTCCGTAACTAAGATTTGTCTGTTTGTAGTTTTTGTTTTTGAGGCAGGATCTCATTGTGTAGTTCAGGCTGGCCTTGAATTCACTATGTGACCCAGGCCAGACTCAAGCTTGTGGCTACCCTCCTATCTTCATCTCCCAATTGCTATAATTACAGCCATGTACCACCACACGTAGCCGATTTGGCTTGTATACAATTAGATTTTGGCATTTGAGACCCATATTTGAGAATCAACCTGTCTTCAGGTTAGAGAAACTATCTTCTCTGACCCCCAAGGGCATACCATGTTAGCCAGTTCATTAACTTACCTCCTGCTGGCCTTAGTGCCAAAATGCATATGCTGAATCTTTG